CGAAGACTGTTTTTAGCCCTCTTTTAGGTCAAAATTTCCGAAAATTCGTCAATTTTCCGTGAAGGTGGGGGGGGGGGCGGTCGCCTCCCTCCGCCCCACCAAGATTTCCGCCACTGGTTCAGACACAAACCACAGTAGCGAATGTTTTGATGGTTCTGACCAAATTCAGAACGCTACCAAAACTCGTACGGTTCACGTATTCCGAAGTCATAACCACGTTTACCAATTTCCAAAATACAGCACAAAATGAATCAATGCTATCACGATGTCGCCACACAAGTGAACATGGATGACGTCAGCGGACAGAAACTAGGTGTTGGCATGGCAACGCTTGGTCCATCATTCGGTCATCGCTATGTCGATCCCAGTCCTATTGCTCGCCATGTGGTCAATGCCGATGCCGTCGAAGGTAAAGATCCCTCATTGTTTTTAATGCCACTGATATACCTTCCTCAACTGAGCCCCTTTACATTTATGTCCTGCAAGCTTATCATGCTGACAGATTCGCTGGACAAGTTACAAAATTACTCAAGCAGTCAAAAACTAACCCTTCCACCTTAGCTATGCGCCGTGGTTATAGACATGGATTAGATGTGATGGTAGTCACTGAAGCGCGTCAGTAAGCCTTCGAGACGATCAGGTTTGAGCTGCCTCCAAGGATTAGTATACCCTAATCAGTCATTTATATTCATGCCCTGCCCTGGGTTCTGCCCCCCCCCCCCAGCTCCGCGGTCCCGGATTACCCTAAAATTTGTATGTTCATTTTGCAGCTGTTACTGCATACAATCCAGCGGTGGTTGCTCTCACAGACATGCTTCGTCAACAGTTGAGACTGGTAGAACAATTTGTTGATAACAGTCGACGCATGTACGAGTCTTACACGAACAACCTGAATACAACATACAGATATACGACTCTCGAGGATACGTTACAGGTAGACAACTCATGTTTCATAAGATGTAGATGCAAATTTAACAAGTCGACTCGTGAAAATTTCACAGGTAGTCGAGTAAGCTTGCTACTGTATGTATACTTGATGTGTCCTACTCTTTCTAAAGCGCGCAGATACCTCAAAATTACTACAGCGTTGCTCACTACCCTCCTCCACAGAGATCTCTTGAAAATTGGGTGGATCGCAAAACTACCCATTCGCAGGCTATAACCCATAGAGCTGCCTGCGGAGGAGGCCAAGTCATTACTACTGGAGCAAGTTATTGAACAGCTGGGTTATTTACGCCCAACATGCATGGTTGGCTCTATCCACGAGCTCTATCATTGCCCTTTTGTCCAACAACCTTCAAAAACAATTTCGATTTGTTAGAATATGTACTGTTTAATTAATTTAGTCTAATTTCTTTTTCGTCTAGTACATTGACGAGAACGGAAACAGACAACACAGTTCAAGAGAACCTGTTACGAAGTAAATGCACACACGCATAATCAAAACTAAAATTTTACTTAAATTAATTTATTCAATAAACATATTTTCATATCTAAATTTTTATCTGCTTCAAAATATTCAAATTCTGCAGTACCTGCCTGCGTGCATATATATATTCAATATTTTTGCAAAATAAATAAATCTATCTATCTAAAACTAATTTGAAAAGAATTATGGCTGCCCCAGTGCCCGTCACTGAATTCGTACACAGTTGACCGTGAATTCCTATGTGAATAAATGGAATCTACAGAAGTTTAAACTGCACCACCATTTTCGGCACCAATCCTCTGTGACGTCACAATCTTTAACCGTCCACCATGCAATTTAAAACGACTCCATAAAATAATTTGCAGCACAGCGCATACAATAGGTACATAGACCAACACTTGAAAACATCCCAGCCTGACGTCACTTCCTGTTCTATCGTGAACGTTTTTCTCGTCCAAAAGAAAATCAGAGTTGTCGTTGTTAGAACTTTCGTCCGAGTAGAATATCGAGTATCCAGTCTGTTTGGCCAGCAGCCATGTTCCTAAAAGAGGCGCGAGTGTTTGGCCTGGTTTCGACAGCAAAGCGGAAGTGCCGAACACAAGCGCTGAGATACTTTGTTTCCGGTGATGTATGACGTAATCTTCGTCTACAAGATCGCTGATGACCAGGTTCAGAAGTTTACACGTTCCTTCCGTAAAAACACGATTGCTGCAAGAATGAAAACAAAATAGAATGATAGGTATTGTCATCCAGATTAAAGTTTCAAATTTCAGTAATCTGAAATACAATCCCAATCCTAACCATAATCCTAACTTCCTGACAAAACTCTTTCGCTCGTCTCTCAATCTCCAGCTATCCTCATCATGGGCGGATTAGGGGGTTTAACCCCCACCCCCCACCCTGGAATCTCTCTAACCCCTCTAATAAAGTGTTCAACCCCACCAAAATTTTGCTTCACCCCTCCTATTTTGTGCGAAAGGCTTTAACCCAAACGCCTAACTCCTGCCAAAGGTCACCTAGTGGTGCCGCTTGCACCCCACCAGAAATTTTTCTACCCTCCTTTTAAATATATGAAAATCCGTCCTTGATCCTCATGACTAGTCTGTTTCGTCAAGACTGGTAAAGCAAGGCAAGTTGTTACTTTTAGCACATCATTGCGAAAAGAAGCTGGTTCCCAAAAATTCAGAAAAAAGTCGAAAAGGAGAAGCTGGTTCACAAAAGTCCTAACAACAATTTCTTTACGGCGACACCAGTTGCAAACTAGAGGTTCAGATAGGGTGTTCCACGAGGCACTTAATTACTTTCAGTACGGTTAAACTCTTACCTTGCAATAAAAATACACAGTAATGTTGACCAGTCCGGACCCAAGAGCAACATGACTAAACTCAGTAGCAGTTTGACATAAAACAACCATTTTATGACCAAGTAAGCGCCAAATCGCCGACATAACGTTAAAAAATACAGGTTATTAATGTGTGGTGTTACAAATGATAAACCAAGTAAAAATGCAGCTGATTTTGGTGACAGAGTGTGACCAAGTAGTTTGTCCAAAAATAACGGGAAAAAATTGCTGTTAAAATGACAATGGAAGACCTGTAAAGGAATTGTGAAATGTTACGTACACCATATATATTCGGGTTTTCTATTGCTTATTGAATTAAGCATACCTAGAATGCTAGAAAAATCCACATTCTAGATTTCTATAAATTCTCATTGCTGGTCAAGGACAACCTGTGAAATTTTTACGCCTGTACTACAAAAAATCTAGAGCACGTATCCAACCAGGGGACTCTTCTAATTAACAGACATTTGAAACGTTCCTTATTATTGGAGTCGGGACAGTGTAAGATGTTCGTAATAATGGTTTTATATATTTAATAGCTCACTCTCACCTGGATTAAATTCATAGCTGTGAACCACCAAAAGTTTTTATGCCTTAACAACTGCTTGACGTACTTCTTTAAAGCCAAGGAAGACGAGTGGTGACGACTTGAAACTTCATGTCTAGTACACGTATCACAAATACGTAATTAGAATGGAGAATTGCAACATAGTCTATGTCATAGAGACGCCGAATTCTATTCAAGAAGAAATCTAAATTCCAGTATTAGTAACATACATGTAAGAACTACATAACTCTAAGACACTCATTTCGAGAAAGTGTTACTTCTTCTTCGATATTACATTCTCTAGTATATGACTACCGAGGAAACTGGATCCCCGAATCTATGAAATTTGATCCCCGAATCTATGAATTTTTATGAATTTATAGGCAGGACTTTGTCGAAATTCTGCTTATATTTTTCAAGTAGTTGTGTCTCTCAACCATTCAAGATTTTAGTTTAGACATTTTACAAGTTCTGTAGGTAGAAACAAGAAACATGATGAAAGAGAAATAAATGCGGAATTTGGTTGTTAAGAAGTTGCAGAACATGGGATGAAAAAATGTGGAAAATACGTTTGAGTACAGTCTTGGGATAGAAGAACCCCATTAGAGACATTTTGAGAAATGACCTTACCTATCACTGGCAGATGCCAACACAGATGAACTTGTTTTTTCAAAATAATGTTTCATCATTGACGTACTGATCACAAACCCAATCAAAGAAAAAACTGCCAGGCACACACAGAACATTTGAAATGTAAGAATAAACTGCTTGTCCCAGAAATAATATGACATAAACACAGACGTTGAACCAATAGCAGAAAAGAACGATGAATAACCATTAAGGCGTGTTCTCTCCTCCTCGCTGAGGGCTAGGTCAGCGAGTAACGCTGAATGATTCAGATCAATCAGAGTTAAAAATCCATCATATATACAAAGACATATCACAAATTGTAATGAAGGTTGCAGCCAGCTGAACCAAAATGACAGAAAACCCAACACAAATACAGGACTGAACTTCACAAGTGCCCTACAGGAAGTAAATATTACATGTTGAGTACATTACATTGGGTAGATGAGATACAATATTGTTGAAAAAAACTACCTTATTCTCTTATGAACAACTTCAATTGAACAAACATGGCTGAAAAACAATTTTAAAGGAAATGAGTGATCATAACTTATCGTCTATTAAACTACAGTAAACACATTGTGCTTTCAAGACATTCAAAAGGTATACCCCAGTGGCCTATTATATGCATTCTCTTGGGCCTTTGCATCCTATTGTTCCAACTATCAGCCAGTAAAGGGTTTTGAGTAGTGCTGTGCATATTTTCAAGTATAGGTTCAAATGTGTTTTAAAAAATTGATTCACCTAGTTTTATTGTTTTTTTCGGCCAGTTTTGGTTTTCTATAAACTGCTTCACCCAAAAGTAAACGAGGTTGCACTTGGGCATATTATGAATTTGTTTTAAGTTTGTTCTTTTAGCATGGGAAACATATATTTACAATATCAGGCATAGTTGGTTTTTTTCAAAGCTTTGTTCTACTTGCCCAGACCTTCATCAGTGCAAATAATGCAGGATTATGAAAATCCAGGCTTATGAAGAGTCAGGCTTATGGATCTCCTATTGGATCATGAATCTTTTTTTCCATTTACTTACATGTTCTTTTCCAATGATCCATGGTCACTGATCCAACCAAAAAGTGGATCATTTAATGAATTCCAAAGAAGAAAGACAGCCTAGTTGAAAGTTCTTTTAGTATCAAGATAATAATAGATCAATTTAAACAATATCAGATTGTCTTTGTAGTCAGTGTATGAAAAGTGCCTTTCTGTACAAAATCATTCTTTATAGTTATAAACGAAGGGTTGTTTATATGGGTTGCTCTATTCTGGAAGAGAGACAAATCTCACTATATGCCAGTTATTTTTATGGTAGAAATTACTTGGCATTTATATAATGCCAGGCTGGACTATTTGCAAAGACCTCACTTCAAACAGGCAAGACCTTGACTGATATGGAATATTCTTTCATACCTATCATCCCAGTTGTCAGGATGAATTGATGAAAGTAGAAAAAGTTGTGACAACTTGAGTTGTACTCTGTAAATCAAACACACAACTCACCTGCAACAACATAGGTGAGTTCCTACAACAATGCAGGCAAGTTGTTAGATTTACACAGTACATCTCAAGTCGTATGCAGGTTGCATGCAACAGTTTTAGGTAAATGTTGTGTAGTGTAAATCGACTGAAAGTGATGTTGCCAAACTGTTGTCAGAAACTGTCAAACAAATAATTTAACCATCTGCACAAGATTGAAAAATATAAATACAAGCAGGAAAATTACAAAATTAGTCTCTGGCCAGCTAGGTTGTGTACAAACAGACCCTAAAACTTGAAATATTACAGTTAACAGTGTACCACATAGTCTCAAACATTAATAGGTATTTACTTATAATGTAATTGAATATTATATTAATTAACAAATACTGCATGATTTGAATAAATTTACAATACAAGCCACGTATAACAAATCTGTAGTATTCACTACACAAAATTAAAAATCTCTTTACTGTTTCAATGAAAGTGTTCCTTTCTAGCGTAAAAAGCTTGTTCATGCGTTCAGCAATTTTCAACAGGTACGAAAATTTATAATTGATTGAAAACAGACCCCTCATAGTGCCTGATAGTGACAATATTTAAAGGCTTCTATAAAGTTAAAATATAAACTAGAACATTATTCAGAAAAGAAACATAATGTAGCTTATGGGAAGGCTCTTATACTTGAAAATCAAATATCAAAAAATACAAACCTCTCCAATCCAAAATGACGTCTTGTCAATCTTGTAGACAGACACGAACATTTCCACATAATACAACAGAAAAACATTATGAAGTATGGACCAAAATAAAGCGATAGAGCCATAAGAAATACGAACGACTTCCATGGGCTCCATCGTAAAATAAATTGAAAGAAAACAAAGATTTTTCAGAAATATTGAACGACTACATACTGAAGCAGAACACTTCTGACTAATTTCCTGTTCTTAATTTATTCATATATTTATATTAATCACCGCTCACCATGACAACTGCATGCTCGCTCGAAAACATTCGTGGGACTCACGCATTGTGCATGGTATCCACGTGGAGTCATGGATACCAAAAATGAAAGGTGGGATTAACCGTCATTTGCATGCGTTTTATAGCCAGTTGGCCACAACTCTCTCCACATTTAACTAGTCTCTAACTAGTTTTCACGTGAAAACAAACCTGACTCGTCCGCACTCGCTCGTCCCGCGTTGAATGATGGACTTTTGCGTCCTATTGTTCCAACCCGCAAGCGCCTGCAAATTTGCGCCAGCATCATCTTTTCAGTCGAAGCAAAAGTTTTTATCTGCGAGTGTTCATGCATAGATGCTGAATGCAATTGCGTAGATTGACTTAATCTATAAATTTAATTAATAGATCAATGTGAATTTGCTCTATTACAGTAATACAGTTCATATATATTTACACTCTTTTAATATCTTGGGTATATATAGAATATACAGGCATATATTTTTTACTATATATTTTAACACAACTTTCTTATCCCGATATGATTTGCCACAGGCATCACCCTTATCCCCGACGGAAAGCATCTTGTCTTCAAAGCAGCATACTGCAAATATTCTTTAAGATTCATAACCAAACCAATGATGAGATTTTATAAATTATTTCGCTAAGTATTACTTGCTATATAATGCTGCAGCTAACAACTTGCTAACAAGTTGTCAGTAACGACCTTGTTGTAGCATTACTACATCGTTGCTGCAAGGTACAACAGACCTGTTCTGCATATCAGCTGCAACAAGTTTACTAATAACCTTTGCCTTTTCGTAGTTGAATACGTTACAAGGAACTTCGTAGAAGACAATGGTAGAAGAACGTCACAGATAGATCTGCCGAGTTTATACTAAGACAAATTATCAGGTGTATATCAGGCAAATATTTCTGCGTGTATTTATAACACGTGTTCCATATATTGCACTCATATTTAAACCATCACCTTGACCAATATTAGATGTGAAAAATATCCACTAGTGATGGATCTGCGAGACTATTATCACGCATGCGCAAACCAAGGTTCCCGCGCTCCGCTGATAATACCTCTAAACTTCTCTGACGACGTAATTTTCTTTTCCATTCAAACACAACGTCTGTTGCCTCCAGTTTACCGTCATCTTGCCGAGAGGGTGGATTTAGACCCTGTCAAGAAAAATCAAATAACCCATACATAAATTTGATAATCTGGCGTAATTCCAAACTACTTGAAAATGCCGCTTCACTTGAAAACGATAGACACTAACTACAGCAACTACATGCACAATACCACCTAAACTGAATCCTACACTGCATGGAGCCCTGCGCGTAAAGTTGATATAAATTTGATATTCATTTGCTTTTTTTGAAAGCCTTTAAATGGAAGCTGAAGAACTGTGTATGGATTTATGGAGTTGCAAAGCAATATACCTTACATACAATAACGCACCTTAACAGCGGCTCCCTCGATGACTCTCAAAGTGCGAACAGCGGCGTCCATCAAATTTTGAGAATTTCGCACAAGAATGTTCTCAGCCTAGAAAATAAAAAAAATCATTACTTCCCTACGACAACATTCAACCTCTCTCAAGCTCACTATGACGTCACAACTTACAGATCTGTCTTGAGGTGTGGCAGACTTCACGGATGATATGATACTCAGTTGAGTTCCTAACGTTGGAATAGACTCTGCCGAACGAAGAATTTCTTCACCACATCTAGAAATGAAAAATATATAATTTAAAGTTGCGGACTGCCAAACAGTTTAAAATCGAGCAAGAATCATTTCAGTTCTGCACGAGGGGCGAGTGAGCTACGGCAAAGGAACGTTTAAGAAATTCTCAATTTTGGCTCCAAAAGAGGAGAAACATTGAATATTTATATAATTTTTACGGGAAATAAAGAAGTTTGTTCTTGACAACATACTTTTGATCTGTACAGTGCTCAGCAATAATCTTGGCAAACTCCCAAATCACCTGACAATCGCTTGCAGCATTCTTCGCAATTTCAATCATAACTGAATTGTCCTTGTGTAAGAAAAATATACATCATGTGACTGAAGCACGATTATAATCAAACAACTGTATTGCATTGCAGGAATCGAACCAAGGTGGAAAGCAAACGCACCAACCACGGTGACACTAACACCGTGACGCAAGTTGCAGGCAGCTTAAAAAATACAATACAAAACATATTCCAAATGAAAACATCTTATGCGTACCGCATATATCGTGTATTCTTGTTGATACCTCATATCTTGAGAGCATAACATGCTTTTATTCCGAGGATGTTTTGTATTGAATTTGCAACAACAAGTACAAGTACAAGAACAAAGAACTAAGTTGATTATTAAGTGCGAAGCTAATATCGGAAAACAACATTGACATACCCTCTTACTGCTTCGTTTTCTCGTCATCTCCGCCATGGTAAACATGTGACGAGCCAGTGTTTTCGCGACACGTACGAAGCCATTGTTCTCATCCTCCCATTTATCTGCTTCGTCACGTAACTGAGCCGCTGCACGCTGCAAGATAATTATATTGCCGTCATGTCAACCTTGTGTTAAGTCAGGGGAAATAGATAATCGCTAGAAGCCCAGATATGAACCTTTCAAAAGCAACCTTCTTTATCGAGTAACAGGTTTTTGCGGAACAATCTACCTGAAGATACAGGTACGTAAATCGGTAGCGTGGATAACAAAATAAATACTAATCCAAAAATTGAGAGTTTTAAAATCATGTTTTGATTAATGTGTTTACATCTAAAATGGTAAATTTTCGACTTTAACCTAAATCATCTTCAGACTGACAAAATGTTACACATTATCGTGTGCACACAGTGATGAAAACATTAATTTGTAGCAAAAACCTGAAAGCTAGTTCGGCGGCTCTTAATTTCTTACGCGATTGTACAAATGTACAATATACGTTTATAAACATTCTTGGAAGGAGTACTACAAAAGTATATCCTACCATCTTAATGGACCTTGGGTCTCTTGGCATGTCCTGAAAACTTGTTACTACTATCAATTCATTGCTATAGATAAGGTTTTTATACCGTTCTCACTAATCCATTCACCACTGAGACAAAGGATCGAATCCTGTATTAAATATGCAGTTGTCTCATTATAATTTCGCCTGCGTCACTCAGTCGCACGTGATAAGAGTTCTTCAGGTTCGACTCAAGTAAGTACTGCAGGAGTTTTCTGGGTATTCTGGTTGATTCTGTATTAAAACTAGACCAATAAGGGATGTCCTTTGATGGGCTTCTAAGTATGAGAAGTTTAAACTGATGGGGTATCCAGTTTAAATAAAGTTAGTTTAGTTCGGGTTTTCTCCTGTAGTAACACTGGGCCAATATAAGAATGACCCTCACAAGACCTCTATACAAATGATAGAGCTATCCAATCTAAATAAAGGTAGTTTATTTACGTTTAGTTTAAACCAGTAGAAACAGCTACTTACAGCAATAGAAACAGAAGACTTCTTACTTCTGAGGTCCTCTTCACTCTCATGTCTCCAAGATCTGTTTAAACCATCCATACTTACAGTTCTTCTGATTGCCGCTGGACTATACGTTGGTCGTCGCATGTCAGTGTCATCTAGTGACTCAGTGGAGTCAATACGTAGCAATGAATTCTGAGAGCCGCTATGTTTACCACCGCTTGTTGCCTTGTATCCTACATGATCCCCTGCTTGTTTGAACTTTGAGTAATCGTGTCTGTTTGACGCCAGCTGAGCGCGGACAGGTTGAACGTGGCGTTTGATATTTTGACTTTGATATTTTGAATCAGACTGTAAAAACAGAGAGAATTTACCTTCATTTGTTTCATAGACATTATCGAAATAAAGATTATTACAGAATTTGCTACAGATTTGGAAATCTGTTAAGATTACACATCTGTCAAAGTTTAACAGATTGCTGATATCTGGTCTCTCGTTAGCCTGCGAGCAGGCTCTCTGGGTGAAAGAGAGCCTGCAAGGATCCCTATGATGACTGCATGCCGCCCTTTGATTATGATGTCACAGGTCAATTAATAATAACCAATCAGCGCAGACCGGAAATACACTTCAATATTGTAAACATAAACCGATAAACGTTGAACCTTATTTTGTGGTTGAACTCCTTTTATATATTGTAAAACAAGCTTAATCCAAACAATATGCACTGAATATTATCAGAATAATTCTCAATATTGTTGCATGAAAGAGAAGCGATATAATGCCTTGTCCGTAGGTTTCGGTTTGCGAATTTGTTCAGTCTTTTCTTAGCCTAGAAGTCAGACAAGCCCAAGACACTCAATAAAGCATGCAAGCTTTTAGTATTCGTCTTTATATGAATACTATATTAATTTACAGTAAAAAGTCAACAAGGATACAAAATACATGACATTAATGTCTCTACATTGCCGAAATTCGAAGCTTTGCGTTGTTCGGTTTTACAGACGGGCAGTGTAGTTTACGGAAGCTTGTCAATCACTTCATTTGAATCAGTTATCAACCAATCAGAGCTTTGCGTCCAAATATTGGACGCATGCACGTAAATATCATAGGGATCCTTGCAGGCTCTCTTTCACCCAGAGAGCCTGCTCGCAGGCTAGTCTCTCGTGAGAGACTGAGTTGCACCCCTGAGTAGTTCACATACCTGACTGCGCATGGCAAAGTCACCGAGAGACGTCACCAAGCCATCAATGACGTCAAGCGATGCCTCGAGATCATCAACCCGCTCTCTCGTACCAGGCCTTTCCTCCAAACCTCGATTAGGGGGTGAGTGGACAAGATTGTGGAGTAGACGAGATCTCTCAGAGGGTGAGGTGTGAACATTGGGGGACATATGGTATCTCTCCAATGGTGGGGGATAATGTACTGAAGTATCTCTCAAGCTATGACCGCTGGATTGTAGTATTGTAGGGCCACGTTGATCGGCGTTGTCCAGGGAGCCCAATAGTTCTTTCGTGACAACTAAACGGAAAATCATACAATGGCGTGAATTAAGTTACTTCTTCATGGATATTTAATTTCTACAAAAAAGTGTTCAAATGTGCAAACCCAGTTAAATATGTCAATGCCAAGAATTTAAAGTAAGACATAAGAAACTCTTAAATTATTTTCAACGCATAGTCACGTGTTAAGTCTCAAACGAGGAGGTGTTGATCAGAATTGGGGAAAAGCGTTCCTTCACATGATGTACAAGCAAGTGTACCTTCCACAGACGAATATTGAACATTCTTCAAAGTCTGTAGCGTTGCCATGAGGAAATGAGCCCGCGATGACCACTGACGTCTCAACATTTGAAAATGTTCCACAGTTGGCTGGTCAGGATTGTCTAAATTTTAGAGATCAATGAATTAATAAAATATTTTTTGGGAACGGCCAGTTTTGGACTTCTTATATAAACCAGGCGAATCATTCATATGGATTGAGCGAAGTATTATACACCGCTTTTACACCTATATTTGAGCAAAATTTAGTTCATTCATTGGACTTGTGCTCTGGCTTTGACCAAGATGTGCACCCTTGGTTTGGCCAGGACGTGTACCCCGGGTTTGACCAGGATGTGTGCCCTGGGTTTGTCCAGTTCCTCGTCATTCTTTCCGATCGAGGACAATCCCATATTGTTTCGAAAACAAAAAAAAAAGCAAATAAAAAGCAAATATTGCACTCACCAGCCAGTCCTCTGGCAGCAGCAATAACTTGAGGAGTAAGACGATCCAAAAAGTCACAGGTGACCCGAACCATTTCAACTTTTTCTACGTCCTCGCTATTACTGATTGTCAGACACGCGTGATTTCTCACGCGGGCAACCTTCGAGGACAGTTTGTTGGATTGTGCTTCGAAATCTCGCAAGTATTCCAGTTTCATGTTGCGGTCAACACGGCTCACATTCAAGGCTGCGCCAGCAAGTCGATCAACGTGAGCCGAAACATCAGCGGTCATGTCATCAATCAACGATGTGAACAGGTGAACCTGAAATTATGCCAAAAATAGGAAAGAATCATTTGAAGGTTTTATTACTGAGCCATCATCAGAGTAGTATGATAATTATTCACTCAATATTTACGGTAAGAACTCAACAACGTATTGTCAACATAAAGTCGAGCCTAATTGATTGAATCTGCACCGAAGCTGGCTGATAACAATTGAGGTACGAAGTCATTTGAGCATCTCTCCAGCTGACTCAATAGTTCCTCTGCGACAGTTCATTTGGTAGAGCGCGAGCCTGCAGGTTCGCTGAATATGCAGCTTCAAATCTTGGTTTAGTCACCTTAATGGTTCGGGATTTAAACAGGTGGGTAGAAAGCAAAAAGTACATTTAACAGATTTGCTTTACAAGCAAACAAAACGTCTGGATGTGAGTAACCTGACCCGAGAGGCGGGCGTGCTCTGCCTTGAGGATAGACCATCTGCCATGCAGGCTACTGGATACAATTAAGGCACCATTGATAATTTGATGGAAATTTCCTTCTTCAAAAACCCCTACAACATTGAGTTCCATCGAGTACAATGCCCAAAATCGTGATATTTATCCATATACTGTACCTTTGTAGACCATTCTCTTTGCAATAAAACCATTTTCTCAACACAAGACATGAAATGTAAACTTGCTTCAACGGTGCTCGCATCAGCTCGGACTTTCTCTTGCACAATTAAAACAGCATCATGAAATTTCTGAGTTAGTTCACCGACATATAAGATTGTTTCTTGAGCTTTATCTTCCTTTTCTTTGTCTCTACAACTGACAGAACGAGAAAATGCAATATAAGTCACTAAGCATTGCTTGCATCAGATAGTGGTAAACCGGCAGTTGTCAAAGTGATGCTCTTGCTAACTTTACTTCGACAGACGTAAACGGGAGCAAGTGGAAAAATGAACTATGACCGAACCTGCGGACCTGGTATTCCTGTATCACCAAACCACGAGCTATCCACGTGCTCATATACTAAGGTGATGTGAGTGCATAGATTATGGGGAAATATATTCTAGATTTTGAGCATCTCGCTCGAGCAGAAAGTTGAAAAATTTTACAAGTTATACAAAACTTTTCAACAGCACTCACCCCACATGCGATTGAGGTGATATTATAATCAGATTTTTGCGTAATACAGAATCGAACCTCGTTCGCAGAAGTGCACCTTCGCAAACCACTAAATCATTCTTCTATTACTAAAAACTGTGACGCGTATACTACTTACTCAGCCGAGCAACCGTCAGCCATTTCTTTCAAAGTCACAATGTAAGTGTTCAATAGCTTGCCACGATCTCTGACAACCTGATTATCACCATGCAAGGCTGCCGTACAAATACCATCAACTGGTGCCGAGGTCCCTGCTGTGATATCATCAACAGCTAGAATCAAGGACTGAACTTTACAAGCCCAATCACGGCGGAGAAATTCCAGCGTAACCATGTCAGGCGCCTTGTCACGGTTCTTAAACATTTCCTGAAATTGATTGAAATGGAGTTAAAGTCTTAACAATGGCACCAGAGCAAGATTCAAGTACCTTAGAAACGGTAACTAACGGTAGTCCAGTTTGCAAAGGCTACATTTTAAGATGCGACACCTGCTACCTCAAATTGATTGTAGAACTCTATTCAAACATACAGTAAACCCAGGCAGGTATAAAATTCGGACCGGATCGCTAACCCTCAGCCCTAACCTCAAACCTAATCCGGATCCAAACAAGACTAGCGATCTGGTATACCCCTTTCATAATCTCGATCTTTAAACTGTTAATTTCATACGGATTCAAAATATCCCTGCAACGTGATGTACCTACCTGAGAAACAGTGATAAACCGATTAGTCAACTCATCCATCTCCGCAGACTTGACCATAACCAACTCAATTCTCCTTAAAGAATCTTGATTTCTGGCAGGAGCTTCGCCTTCCCCGCTCACGTCCACAGCATCCTCTGCATCCGCGGCCGCCTTAGCGGATGATGCTAGTTCACGCAGGCGCAACACATGCTGCCTAAAGTTGGTGATCTGTAACGAAAAATGTGAGAATTGGAAAAACGATAAAGTATGAAAGAATACAAGAATAGGAAAAATATAAGGTGGTGTGATCAAGAAACAAAACACGGGTTGAATAATTCGACTAAATCATGCATGCATTGCCAGGCAGGGTGGAAAAAATAGTTGAGCCTCGCTCGCAGGAAAAGTTAAACAGTTGCAAGAAATTTGTTAGATTGAAGATTTGAAACTTGATACCACGTATCATGTATGCACCATTATGAGACCAACAGCTTATGGTTGACAGACATCTTTCTCTGAATTTAAAACATGGTCAACAACTGTAAGACACTATGTTTAGGCAGAGATTTAGCACAAATTTTCCTGCAATTGGTCCGCAGGAAATTAGCGTCTTCAGGTTGTTCTCCCAGTAAGAAAATGATTTTCTCCTTACCTGATTCTACGGATAACCTGCCACAAACTAGCCCGCTGGCCAAGCCTTACCTGGTTAGTGTACAGATGCTGATCCTTCAACGTCACAGCTTGTACAACACAGGAGGCAGATACAGACCAAGGATTGACTAACTTGTCCACGGTTGCTCGAACAATATCCAGTTGCTCACTCCATTTATCACACTTGACACGTAGTTGATTGTCTGCCTTCGTGTCTTTTGGGTTGGCAGCAACTTTCCACGCAAGCTGAACGACATCAGCGGTACTTTCGTACACTTCCGAGGATGTTGTGAGGGCGAGGCTATCAAGAGAAACAAAGGAGGTTTAAAGGCAAGGTTATTGATAGTTTATTCCGCACATCCTCGGGATAGTCAGTTTGGTACTAGTATCGAGTAAACAGCAAAGGCAGGCAACAGTTTGAACGAAACAAAACCGGCCCGTTCAGACTTTCTCTCTAATGGAAAAGGGACTTGTATATTTGGCTATTGTCCCCACCGGCAAAATGCAGTGATTACAGCAAAATATTTTAAATACCTGGAAGCCTCTTTATTCTTGGAGCGTCTTAAAGCTGGCTCTTCGATAAAGTCTTTCAAACTTGCAGCACGTCGAGAGAGTTCATTACATCGTCGCTCCACAAGAGCGTAGTCGGACTGCGAGACTGCGTCGAGTATCCGAGACATTAGCGATGACGGAGAAACACGAAGTAATGCCGAGAGCTTTCCGAGCATTTGAATATCATCTGCTTCGACCAGCGTTAAACCTTGAAACGATTAAGGAATTGCTTAGACTAAAGCTAAGCCCAGGTTGAACTATAAATCTCGTAATAGAAAAAGAGAACTGGGAAGAGGAGTATTGTACAAGAGTTTACAATACATGAACATGAATATCCGGAGTAACTCTAACATGGCGTTTGAAGCGTATATGCGCCCATTATGGCTCAGTATTCTGGGTTTATAGAGTATGGAAAAACTGGGATTAGATTTAATGGATTAAATCCACATAAAGAGAAAGGGCGTGTTCACACCGGCCCGGATGAGTTCGGAACCGCACTCAAACGATTTTGCTTTTCTTGCCTCGTAAGACCACACAATCTCGTTCCCTTGTTCATTTATTTTTGAGCGGTACTAGCCTGGGTACGAGACTGTTGGTACGCATGAAACGGGACAAATCTCAGCAAAAATAACGGTATAAATCCCGTATGAACAAGTGGATCGGGGCGAATTATCGTACGGCTCCGAATTCGTCTCATGTGAACGTAATCTACAGGAGTGAATGAGAAAACTCGCAGAAATGCACGGTTGTACCTAACAGCAAACAATGTCTAGTTTCTTGGATATAATTCTGAATGTCACGTGAGTTGCGATTTCTCATCTGGCCCATCTGTCTTGACGATGCACGTGTCACTGGTAGACTGTTGGAGTCTGGGTTGCTCGTCTACAAGAAAGAAATTTCGTATTCAAAGGTGAGGTAACAGGAACAACCAGGCCTAGATAATGTATTTTTCGTCCTGGCAGCAAATTCCAAAAATTAAAATTTCCTGTGTAAGTCAAGTTTAAAGCTTCCCACAAACCGTGGCTATAGATATGCTGAAAACCAGCATACCTTATAGCACAAACCGTGGCTATAGGTATGCCGAAATCCAGCATACTTTATAGCCACAAAGTTCGTGTCTTTACGTACCATAATAACTGGGCTGTTCCTTCCAACTGGACTGTTCCTTCCAGCTGGACTGTTCCTTCCAACTGGACTGTTCCTTCCTTGACTGCTTTCCCCTGGTCGCGGTGATGCGTGTCGTACATTGAGGAAATCTTGACTTGGAAAACCTAAACGTAGATCTGGAGCCTTAGTCTTCAATCACTCCATTGCAATGTTTAAATATCAAAAAACTTAAGAATTGTGTAAAAACCAAAATCCTCGACGCTTACGGATTGTATTACTCGTCACATTAATCGAAGGAGGAGCCATAGGCTTAGTGTCGCCCTCTTCAAAACTATTATCTAAAAACAATTTGTTAAATTGAAGACAATTATTTCAACGTATGTATAACCCCAGATCGCTATACGCTATCGCATTAAAGAGTATGGACTATTCCTGTATGATCTAAACGTGTGTAAACCAGAGGCAACGCATTAGCCGCATGTTAAATCGTTTTTTAGTCGTTAACCAACTCAGCCTGATTTCTATTACGAGCCATACAGACTACAGAAAACAGCATGAAGCTTCACACTTCCATTAACACTGTACCTTTCAGGTGCACTGGGGATCTTCTTACAATTGATCTCATTTCACCTAACTTATCCACAAGTACCATAGCATGTTCCATAAACTTTACATGATTGCGGGAATCTTGAATATTGCAGATTACCTCGGTTGATAACGAAGCCAGTTCTGGTAGAACTAATAAAGGTAGAAAAAGCAACGGGAATAGTCCAAATGATACATTGTTACATACATTGTTACATTGTTACATGGTATAGTATGGCATGGTATCATGGTATATAGTATGGTATGCTATGCTATAGTAGGGGTAAGGTAAGGCAAAACAAAAGGTAAAAGTAAGGCAAGGAAAAAGTATGGTATGGAATGGTAAGGCAAGGCAAGGCGAGATAAGGTGAAGTGACGTAAGATGGGGTGAGGAAAGATAAGTAAGGTAAGGGACAGTAAGGGAAGGCATTAGGCGAGGCGTGGGGAGGTAAGGTGAAGGAAGGTAAGGCAGGCAAGGTAAGGTAAAATAAGGTAAGGTTAAAGTAAGGTAACATACGATTATGTTTTACCTGAATTAACACGGGTTGTCACTTCAGTCAATCTGCTCTTAAACAGAGGATCAGCTGCCCGTTGTAATTCAATCCTACACACGTGTACTGCTTTCTCGGAAATACTAACCAACAACGATATTTCACTCGTCAATTTCTCAAAATTAGCTCTCCTAAAGCCTCTCTACACTTTGTCAAACTTTCTTTTGCTAGTGCTTCCGTCGTGCTGAGAAAATCTCCAGAGCTGACGGCATCCACAGAAAGATCGGACAATACACCGACATGTGTTCGCCATTCCTGTTGAATAGTTTTCAAATACTGCAAGTTTTTGCTATTTTGAGCTTGTTGGCGAATCTCTGAAGACGCGCTGAGTATCCGTGGCGTGAGGTTTTCTATTTGACCAATCACAGAACGGATAGCATGAACACCTGAAGAGAAGAGTATTATTATTACTGTCAGTGATGCTGGTCACACTCCATACTCAACTTTCGGGTGGTAAGGTATGGAAAGAGCATGAAATCAAAATGGAATGATACAGACGAGTGAGGCAGACATAGTATAAACACCAGTATGACAGACACGTGAACAAAACAAACATTTCAATCCATCTCAAATTTCTTACGGTCAGGTTCAGCCGCAACTGACGATGCATTATTAGCAGCCTGACATAACGTAGCAGAATAATTCAGAAACGCTTGTTGGCATTGCTTTAGTCGACTCATCGCTTGATTGTAGTTCAAGAAACTCTCATTCTAAATGAACAAAAAAGAAAAATTTTATGGTAGTGGTTTTCACCAAGCACTCTCGCACAACAGATGGTGATCAACAAGCAATTATCAGAGTGAGTTGTTGCCACGGAGGGCACAGAGAACAGTGGCACTTTCAAAACAATGGAAAGACAATGGAAATATTACTATGCTAAGTGTTATGAACCGACTTGACCTCGTAGCTCAGTTGGTAGAGCATTGGACCAGTATTCCAAAGGTCGCGTGTTCGATTCCCACCGTACGTGGTCAGGCAAACTTTTCAGCTTGCCCGGTGTGGATGCGCACTCAGAATAACACCACAAACATCATATTCACCTGAGTGAAGATTGAGAAATTTTATTGATCCTCTACTACATGTCAAAATTCCTGAAGTTGCCCATCATCGTCTGTCATGTGAAACTTATAATGAAGTCCCTTAATAGGAATACATACAGTCACCGCACAGCTGACAAATACTTACAGGCATTGGAGTGGTTGCAGCGGTAATAAGGTTATGCAGCGGGGTGTCGACATCAGCAAAGCCTGTACATACAGCAGCAATTATTGTCATAGTAACACGACGGTCCAAAGATCGCAAACATTGTTGTAGCTTGTCCGTGTGGAAGTCAAACTCTTGCCTAAAGAAAAAATGAAGTTCATCAAAATTGAACTGATTACTGCAAAGAAAGTGAGAGAAAAGTGAAGTAAGAATAAGAGCAAGAACTCTCCTGTAAATATGGATAAGAAAAGAGGTTTCACATGTTAGCACGCTAATTATTTGGAATTTTTCGGAATGATAAAATATACAGAACATTTTTGTTTCTTTAATAGTTACTGTACCTATATCTTTCAGACATTGGGTTGGCAGATAAGGCTTCCTGTGCATTGTTCAGTTCGCCTCGCGTTTCCAGCACCTAAAAAACATTTTATCAACACATGAAAACGTAGTCTGCACAGCCTGAGAGAGGTTGTGGAAGTTAAAACTGAACCTCTCTAATACCGAGACAATGAAGGATCAAGTTTAGTTAAGTTTTAGCCATTACTTCTTGACATGCTTTGGCAATTCTAAGTTTTCGTTTTTGATGTTCACATTTCTCAGCGACGGCCAGACTGTTGTGTACAATAGCCTCAAGGTAATAATCCAAACGACTTGGAGTAGACTCTAATGGTTTCTGGAATGAAAAACGAAATAAATGAAACAAGGAAATATTATTAATACTGCCAACTCTCATCCTCATTTGACCATGCTTTAAATACACATTTTGTAAGTATTCCTTTTGTAAGTATGCCATGATCCTCAACCATCAAAATAAGCACATAGTTACATACCTGTGGCTGTCCGTTGTTTGTTGGTGAGCGGTATGATGCTTCTTCCTGATTGCTTGTAATTCCTTTTGTCTCAACCGTCTGAATAATTTGTGAACACGCCATAAATATCTGACCCACAATATAGTCTCGATTTGCCTGCAAATAAAAAGAAGATACTAATAGTTTTAGACACAAAATAAATATAATTGTAGTTCGCCATAATTTTCGGTGGTCGCCAATTTCATTTCCAGTGAAAGCGGAACACGTTGCAGAAATTGGAACACAAATTAGAACGTATTCAGAACGCAAATCAAACGCAATTAGAACACTTTGTGAGAACGCATTTCTGAGCAGTACTGTAATGGCAACTATTTTTCTCATTTTTTTTGAAGAATAAAAGCCATGGGAACTCTTTTATATTAATTACATTAATTCTTATCCACGGATAGGTTTCACTATATCGTGCAAGAGTTAGTGATTACCGCCAGTTATAAGGATACGAAAATAATGTTCATTTTTCTCATTATAAATACTTGTCTTTTATTTGGTCACAAATAAATAGAATTGATAGCTGTACATGTAGCTCAATTATTTGCTCCTATTATACTGTAAGTGCCAACATTCTTAAGTTGGCCACAAAGTGCTACCTGGCAACATTTATTGAAACCAATATTTGTACATACATATGTTCTTACCTTGAGTGCCTGTTGATCAGGATTTTGCATGTACTCATGACTTGTAGACAGTAATTTCGATGTAGCATTCATAAGAACAGCCGTTGATGATGCAATCACCTCTTGTTTAGTGGGACTCACAAGCTCCTTACCAGTAAAAGAAAACACAACTGTTTAGATCTTATTATTTACTGAACCATGCTGATCCAACTGAGCTATCAAATATTTTACTCACATTCCGTCTTTTTTCACATAACATCAATACCTGTGACACACTGTCACTAAATATCTAATAAAAGGATTAAATGCATATATTATTTAATAACAAAAATCCCAGATTATGGTTAAAAGTTTTGCACTTTAAAACCAACATTTTCAAATGTTGGTTTTAAACACACAAAATTCAGGATTATGGTGCTGCACGGTGTACCTGAAAGTGCTTTCTGAACTCAGGCCAAGATTGGACATTTTGTAAAATCCATAATTTCTCCAACACCATGTTCGCTTTGTGAATAATTTTCCGCACCTCTGCATCATCAGATGTTAGCAGCACCTGAAAATGACATTGCTCAGTTCAGTTTGAGGCCACAGGTCAGTGCTGAAATAACTCCCCCAAAATGCAGTATGTATATTAGACTCCTTTCTAATTGTGAAATCTTCCCTGTCGTGAAGCCCCATCCCTGCATGTGTTGAATCAGTTGATACCCACAGCGGTTTCAATAGCAAATCCTAAATCTGTTAACCATAAAGATTTTCAATTTTGCCAAAAACCTTAAACAATTTTTTTCTACGTGAAAAATTAAAATTATATCAGGCTCGCAAGCAATTGCTAGTTCCCCAAAAGTAAATACAATGCCTAATTACAGTATGCTTCTTCAGCAAAAGTAGAGTGCATTCACTTACATTAACAGTGTATTCAAGAACTTTCTTGGCAGAGTCAACAAGAATTGATCTCATAGAGCCATTAAGAGGATCAATTCGTAATTGTTGTGCTGCTGTTAACAGATTATTCCCTGCTTCAAGTACTTGACTGCAAGCTCCGGGCATATCTGAACTTAATTGCTGCAAGAAAAATCTGCCAATTCATGTTTATTCAATTCCATGCTTTTCAATTTCCATTCTTCAATTCCTTCATTCTTCTCTTTTCCTTTTCTTCATTCTGATTTCAATTCATTCTTCATTCATGCATTGATTACATTTCCCAGTTCTCTGTTCCTCCGTTTTCTGTTCTTTTTCTTTCACTAAAGTTTCTCTTTAATTCCACTCATACATTCCTATTTCTTTCCTGCCTACAGTTCTTATTCTATTTTTCATCTCTGGCCTTCTTCATCTCTCCCTTCCTGTTTAACCTGTGTGTTATTTCTTTTCTAACATCTCAAACTCCCCTTCCTTAATTACTTCCTGTCTTTTTGGTGCCCCTCCTTCAAACATTCTGCACTCTTTTCTTCTTATTCTCTATTTTCTATCAAAGCAAAATTTTACTATCAACTATGGATGATTCACCTCATCAGAGCTCTCCTGAGCAAGCTTGTATCCAGTGTGAGTTAGTGTTCGAACAGTTTGAAAAATATGTTCTGCAGAAGAGACAAGATCTGGGAATGCATGTTGGTCTTGCACACCAGCTTCATTCAAGATGATCAAATTGGAAACCTAAATATCAAAAAATTACGTAGTTTATCACTGACAATCCTTTATAATATCACTGTTTTTGTATGAAAGATGTTTTCTTTGTATAAAGTATGATGTACAGTATACATGGAAACAATTTTTTAAATCCACGCTTCAATTGTACAAAGGTACATTTCTATAGAGTCCGTGATAGTCATCCTGTAATTTTTGCAAAAATTTCTTCCGCCAGATACGGGCATGGATTCTCTGCCATTTTGTAACTAATTGAATAAACCTTCCAGATCAAGGGCAGATTTTCATTTATTTAAAAGGAGGGGTAGAAAAATTTCTGGTGGGGTGCAAGCAGCACCACTCATGCAGTGTGCTTTGGCATTTAATAGGCGTTTGTGTTAAAGCCTTTCACACAAAATAGGAGGGGTGAAACAAAATTTTGGTGGGATTGAACACTTTATTAGAGGGGTTAGAGAGATTCTAGGGGGGTCACACCACCTAACCCCCCCCCCCGGAAAATCTCCCCATGTTCCAGACCATTTAGGTTTGCTTGCCAACAATGACCATGCCACATGGGCCACTGTTTAGTAAAATTTCTCACGTTTCTCCAAATCAAAGACTTCCACCAGACAAAAATTAGCTTCAATTCCTACCAAATGTTTCCAACCCCGCCAAATGTTACGTGGAGGAAGGCCCTTAAAATGTACTATGGGGTAGGTGTAGGTGAGGACAAATCAGATTTATGTGACTATTGTTAATCAAGTGTACCCCCCCCCTGGCAGGGCTGGCAGACATTTTTTTGACATTTCAGTAGTTTTTAAATTTACTTTTTACTCAACATATTTTTAGAAATAATAATTGTACTTTTTACTCCAAAACGTTTTTCCGCAGGGATATTTAACACGAGCATAGAACATTGAAATATCAAATATGCAACAGATTTATAAAAATGTTGCAAATATGAATGGCATTTACGTTTAATATTTTGAAAGGTACTTTATTCTATAAACCTATTTATCGAATATTTAGTGTAAATTTGTCATGTACAGTGCTTTCTAGTTGTTTATTAACCGGCGTGTAACTGTATCTAATGTTATAAAATGATCAAGAAATGAAAACACTTGGTTAATAGTAAACACTCACTTGGGTGGCAATTGGGGCAAGAACACGTTCGATGGATTTCGTTTGAACCAACGTTGAAAACGAGGACGAAGCCATTTCCGACTGGCATTACAGAACGTCTACAACACTCCAAGAGAAACGGCCATCATACCAGCCCAATCATTCGTTGAAGAAACCTAAAACTGTGCTGAAATTTCAGGAATTCTCATCTTTGATATCGAGTTGAAGTTTTTAAATATTAAAAAATATTTGGACTGGTCAGCGGAGTGCATCGCGGGCTTACACACAAAAAAGCATTGAATGATTACACTGGATGATAATTGAATGGATGGATCATGCTGGCATGTGAAACCTTCGTCAAGAGTTAGGGCCTTCGCTCGAAACGTCGAGTTTCTGCTTATTTTTTAAGGTAGTAATATAACCACTCAGCACAGCATTTTCACTTTGGTACTACCCACACTGGTACAGACAGTTTTAGTATATATATGACTGTTGACCGACCATGTAATGGTCAATTATTATAATATGATTAATGTGGACCATGGCTCTGATGAACCTGAAGTCCTGAACAATGGTTATTATGCATGATTATTGTGAACTATAGTTATGATTATTGAACATTAACATGAACCATGGTTGGAATAAGTGAATAAACGTGAACCATGGATGAATCGTTCTGTGTTAGACAAGAATAAAATAACAAAGTAGGGTGCACTTAATTTATGCTAAACATTATTATTTTTTATATAATCCTTTGTTTTACAGTAACAGCAAGTTAATGACAGCATTTCACCAACAAAACTGTCAAAACTGGTATTTTTAGTGTAAAGTGGTATAAACTGCAACACAATCACAACATAAATGTATACATTTAAAACATGAATTTCCTTACTGTAAAATTCCTGATTTTTCATCTATTGTTAATAAATCCTCTAATACTTAAAATCTGATTTGACCATCAAGATGTAGAAATGACATGTGACATCTCACTGTGTTTAAAAAGCTCATCAACCAGTTCAAATTCTTCATCACAATCTGCACAAATGTAAGTTATTCCTGAGGGTTCATCAGCTTCGAGTTCACTGTCTAAGTGATATTCATATTCTAATTGTTTGTGAGATATAACATCTCTTGTTTGCTGTCCTGTGTGGAATTCTTTGTGTAAAGTCAAGAGCCCTGAAGATGCAAAAATTCTTTCACATAAATCACATTGGTACAATTCTTCCTGACTCATAGCTGGTGCTGTTTGATGTGATCTATCACCAAATGATTCCTTCATTGAGTTGTTATTTTTAAGTTTGTCATCTAAATGATGTTCTAATTGTTCATGAGAGACAACATCACTCATTTGTTGTTCTGTGTGCAATTCCTTATGCACAGACAAGAGCTCTGAAGATGCAAAAATTTCTTCACATAAATCACATTGGTATGCATGTTTTTGACTGATAGCCAGAGCTCTGTCGTTCGGTAAATCACTGTATGATTCCTTGGTCACTTTTACACGAATATCAAATTTAAACAAATTTACTGCAGTATGTGTCCCTTTTCGATCTAAGAAACTTCTGGCAGGCAAAACATCCCTAATGTGGACATTACAATCAAAATATTTTCCACCAGTATGGGTTATTTTATGCTTAGTCAAGTTAGATGCTTTGGAAAATTGTTTATCACAAATATTGCAGGTGAAAATTTCACTAATGTGTGTTTCCTTATGCTTTCTCAAGCCTGATGCCTGTGAGTATTTTTTGCCACAAATGTTGCATTTGAACAATTTTTCCCCAGTGTGTGTTCTCTTATGTGATATCAAGCCACCACATTGGGAGAACTTCTTTCCACATTTGGAGCACTTGTAAGGCTTAACTCCTGCATGAGTTCTATTGTGACAAATCAAATGGTATGGATTTGAAAAGGCTTTGCCACATTTGCCACAAACAAATGGTGTTTCTCCAGTATGTGTTCTTTTATGTCGAGCCAGGCTTGATTTTTGTGAGAAGGTTTTATCACAGACATTGCATTCATATGGTTTGACTCCGGTATGTATCCGTTTATGAACTAATAAGTTCCCTGACTGAGAAAATGATATTCCACAAACATCACATGTGAATGCTTTTTCTCCTGTGTGAATTTTATAATGTCGTTTCAAGTCAGATGGTCTTTCAAAACGTTTCTTACAGCACTTGCATTTGTGTTGTCTTTCACCCATATCTCTGATGTACTTTTCTCCAAGGATTCTGATGACAGTTATGTTGCCTGGGGAATATTACATGCTACAAGATAGAGTGAAAGATATAGATACTCAAGGGTTAAAAATTAACATATTCATAAGTTTTTAATTAAACATAGCTTTACCAGTCAAAGGTACACACAATTTCCTCCACGGGGTAGGTATGGATATTTTCAGAAATTACCTAATAGAGCACTTAATCAACTTCTTGACATGGATGTCACACATACAAAATTGTGCCTTTGGCCCCATTTGTTTTAACAGTCAATGAAATAGCCTAAACATTTATAGTGGTGGTAACAAGCAGAAACATACCAACATTATCAAAAGAGTAAACCTCTGTTGTTAAACATTGCTCCTGGGTATTGCTCCATGCATAGCATGCAGGCTCTCTGGCCTCCCCCAAACCCAGAGAGCCTGCTACTCCATGCATTAACAAATGAATCGAGTACATAACATCTGTGTCGCTAACTGTGTTTATACATACATGTGCAATATAATATTGTAACTTTACTGTAATGTATTTTAAATATGCAAACTCCGACAATGTAAATATTATGATTCCACTGAAGTCTTGATATTTAGAATAAAATACAAAATTGGTCTAACTATTTTGACAAACTGAATGCAAAATTTCCCAATTCGGTAGAACATGAAAATATGAAATTATATGGCTAGCTTCCTGCATACCCAAATATAACTTCGAGACTGACCTTTAATTTTTAAATCCTGCTCCTTTCATTTTCCTTTCTTGTTTTGTCTTGGAGTAATAGCGTTCAATATTACATGTAATCTTCGTAAAATTCCTCAAAATCAACTAAAAACTTCCCACAACCAACTACAGTATTTTCAATATACCGTAAATCTTCCAAATCATCACATTGCATTCAACATTCGACATGTGCGAGTTCGTGGCAGAGCATGCGCACAACCAATTTTGGCAAAAGCCAAATACACTTTTTAAAAGAGAGTAAAAAAGCCTAAAGGCACCCTGTTATTTGGTTAATTTACCAGCTTTGCAATTGGCTAAATTTTATGAAACCGGATTGGCTAGAAATATATACAACTGGAATTATCGATGAAATTATTTATACAAGGAGTTCTCTGGCCAAAGTGTAACGCTCGCGCGTCTGGGGGAAGCGAATCATCGTTTGCGCTATAAGGCCTAATAAAGGCCCAGCAAAAATTGGCGCTATATTGAACTGCCTCGTAAATAACATATATCTTGGCCAACTTCAAAGCTCTTTTTCACTCATCGTCATCGCAAAAACAGTCCACATTTACTCTCTCCTCCGCAGAGGCTTTAAGCTACGCTCGTGTTCCAAGATCCGCCATGTAAAGTGTAGTGAAATGTATTTCATCGTAATATTAAATCCTAAGAAAACTAAAGCCTCTGCGGAGGAGAGAGCCACATTTATGTGCGGTTGGGAGGGAAAAAATAAGGAGGGCAGAAAGAAATTTGCCAGACTTTTTTTGTATTTTGCCTGACTCATCAAAAAGAATTTTCCATGCAAAGGGTTTAAAATTTTTCCAACATACCTATTTCTTACATATTTCTTGGTTTTTATTTTATTTCCCCGATCTTTTTGCACAACATACGTTTACAATTTTCCCAACTTCAATTTCTCGGGGGGGCTGTCACCCCCTCGCGACTAGGACACTTATCCCAACGAAAAATCTCTACAAACATATTGTGTAAGGCGTCAGCAAAAATATGACATCTGGATGAGAACCATTCCAAATATCAACAAAACATACAAATTCTACGCAAAAGTGAAATGCAGTTATTTATCTTTTCCACTATTCTACAAGACGGGGAAACCAACTACATGTGTGTACCAAACACTGGTTTCACCTTATAACGAATTTTATACACTATATACTAGCATACTGATACTATGAAGTACACATTTACATTTTCAGATGTAAAATCATCAAAACGCTTTCAAAATAGTAAAATCTGGCTTTTTATGAAGTGATTTCATTTGCGGAAGAGAATGCCAACTTGATGGTGAAGATTGTTCGGGCCTCTGCAACGAAAAAAGAAATATTTGAAAATCTTGTAGGGCATGTTTCGTTCATGCCGTGAGAACTGGAGTCTAAAAAGTGGCGCCAAAATGGAGCTCATTGGACGTCAGGTCCCCTTTCTACTGTTTTTGTTCGCGCGGTTAGCATGAAGCTGCAGCAAGTGTGTCGAATAATATTATTGTTTTATGAACTAAAAACTTGATTAGCGATACGGTCCGTCAGATAAAAAATTAGCTGGGGAAAATGGTATCAATACTCTTTACGACCATTATTATAGATTTTGGTCGCCAATTTTCGCCATCTTCACTTTTCTCATGGTTAGCATTATTTTCCATCCAGCAAACTGACCTGACGTCATTTTCAGAAGATGGAAGAGGTGTTAAATGGCTATGTAATTAACCCAAACCCTACCCTTATTCTAACTCCTAACTGCAACCCTAACCCTAACCGAATTAATAAAAAAATTAAAAAAACGACTTTAGAAAATCGATAGGGCAGTTTGGTGGATGGAAAATTGTGCTAACTGGCCGAATGACTGCAGTTCTTGCTCCATATATATATAGAGCTCAGTGGTTGAACTGAACTGAATAGAACTGGAACGCTACGTCCAGGTCCAACCGCAAATTTGAAACTCGAAGGCCAGTCTCAGTCTTTTCATGCATACGAAGAGCGCTCAATCAGTCAATGTCATAAAGATAGGCAGTTTATCTGAAGGTAGCGTTATATTCATTTCAATGATTCTACCAAACAAGACTGCATACCTTCATTTCGTACAACAGCATGATTCATCATCATCAATGATGCAAGTGCAGTGCTTACATCAGCCCATTCCATTAACCCAGTTGCACTCTTTGTAGCTAAGTGAAAAATATCGAACATGGCTCAATTTAAAAAACAGAAAAGCGTACATTATTTAAACAATCATTTTCAGATATGTTTATGATTCTTTACCATTTGGGAAAATTTTAATTTTTGACGGTGACGTCACATCTTTTTCTGTGAAAAGCTACAAGAAGGAAAAACGGTCTTATTTAAAAGTATTCCAAATATCTTAGAAACAACTTGACCAAGTAACAGTTTTTGGAACAAAGAAAAGCCATTATAACCATTTTGATTCACATTCTCACCTCGCTAAGTGATTCTTCAGTGCTGTCTGGGGGAGCATTGTAGAAATGAAGAACTCTGGTTGGGGTAAAAACTCCTGTTGCTGAGTCAAGGAATTACTACTACAAACAAGTTCTAATTAACTAATTACAACTGATTAAATAATTATTCAAACAATAATTCATAAGCTTATTGGCAAATCATGTCAACCATAATATGTGACGTGCAGTGGCTTTAAACCTGATAAAACACTCCTAATTAGTATTCCTTATATAAAGTATACTAATAAGGCAGCACCTATTTTTGTCGTGTCCTCATTAGTATTCTTTATGTAAAGAATACTAATAAGGTAGTATATCTATTGAATTTGTAGTTGTGTTTGTAAATTATTAATAATAGTATTACCAGAAGTTTCTGCAACAAGAGGGAAGACCCTGAAACGAGGTTGCAGTTTCTACTGTAGTACAACAATGAAAATTGAAGACGATCCATCGTTTTTAAATTGAAAAAAATACTTTTTGATATCCAAAGGGACAAAAGGATACTGTTTTTGCTAATTGCTTCAGATGTTGTGAATCTGTGTACAAAAGAATGGAATGATAAAATATGTTATTACATTATATGGGCATATGAAGAGTTGAGAACTGGCACGTCTGTCCAGTATAAATAAAGTTAAATATATATTCTAGTACCTACAATAAAACTGACCAAAATAATGTTTAATATGGACACGATATTTTTGTAAACACGGCCTTTTGAAAAACAGACCACCGTGGTTAAATAAGTTTAAATAATAATAATACCTGTGCAGTTTTGAATCATAAAAATCTTTGAAAGATGTCTCAACACTTGGGTTATAGTTGGGAGGACATGTCAAGCTAGTCTGTTTCGAGAAGCTGCAAGACAAAAACATTTTGTACGTTGTTTTTTGTTCAACTCTCTGACGAAGCTCCAGTCTTTCCTAGAAACGTTACTATTCTCTATGGATATTTCATATTTCAGTATGTGAAACTTTTAAGCCCTAAGAGGGTTTACCCAAACGATCGCATATTTGGATAATGCAACCTATACATTGCACCGCTACGCAGGCTATGCCATGTATGTTACCTGAATTTCAGTTCGTTCCCATGCACGTTACAACCAGTTAAATTTTGGATGATTGTGTTACATGACAAATTGTCACCCATTTCCACCATAGCGCAACCTGGTTTACTTGACATCAACTTAACCTACACAAGATAAACAGATTTTGGGGTTTTGGTTATTTTATTAGTGTGTTGAATACAATCAACGCATGTTCATGGAAACTAGGAAAGTTAAGTTAAGAAAACTTTGCCAGAAAATGATCTGTTGGAAGCATTCATATACAATCAATACAATCTCACCTTCATGACGTTACCAAAAGGACACAAGAGATTAAAGATTCCTTCACAAGATAACTTATCAGGATCAAAGCCGTACGCCATAAGAACACTAGGTCCGGGTGGCCCCGATCCCATTGGACCACGTGGTCCATGCATGAAATCTGGTCTTGGACCAAAACCTGGACCGGGTCCTGGATTCATCGCCGGACCTCGAGGGCCTGGGTATGAGCCAGGGGGGTTGTATGCAGGACGGTTAAGCAGGCCACGGCCACGACCAGGTGGGCCTCGCATTGGATCTGAAAATATTTGAAAATCTTGTTTAGTTAATCGTGGTAGAAGGAACGTAAGATGAAAGGAAACAATGCAAAAGGCTAGTTTAATGTTTCAATAAAGAAATTTACAGGAAGGATTATCATTTTTGTGCAAGGCAACAATAGACTAAAACTAGTAGTAAATGGAATTTTGCAGTTCTTTTATGTGGAAGATACTCGACAATGTAAAATTTACAATATTTTGCAGCCACGACGGCGACTCAGCAATGTTATATGGGATTGTAAGATTCTTGCAATGGTGTCGTTCAAGCACTGCTCTTGTGAGTGTGGAGCTGTTGTGATGATACTTTGATGGTCCTTCATAGATGTTGTTACTCAAAAGCTACAAATGTGTAACAAAGAGATAACATGTGTTTCTTGTGCGATAATTCCTCATTTTGAAAACCGTTTTTGACATTGGAATATCGGATATTGACGTGTGAGAAGTTGTATGTAATGATATTTTGATAATTTCTTCTGGTATTGCAAAACATGCGTTTGTATTGCAGGTATATTGCAGCTTTACATTGACGGTTCCTCAGGTGATCAAGGGTAGTTCTTGCCATTGGATATGTGGAAATTGTAATGTTCCTCCTGAGATTCTGTTTCTCAAATATAATGCATCTGTGAGGTTCTTGAGAAGATGTTTGCCATTTGGATGTGGGTATTTGCATTTTTCTATTTCAGTGCAAAGTGTGTGGTGCTTTCATGGTCTTTAATGCGATCCTCATACTTGATAAAATAAACCATTATATGATGCTGCGGTGTTCCAGTGAACATCATAAAACACGGCATGTTTCTAATGCTGTTTGCAATACTGTTTACATAGTCATGTAGGCGATTTTTATTATTGATAAAAATTACCAATTGTGATGTGGGTGTACATCTGTATTGAACATAAGAAGTGAAACGCTTGCATAATTATGTAATTCGTCGCATGTGTTGTTTCCAGTGACATTTTCAGTATTTCTTGAAGCTGCAGTAGTGTGTTGGTTTTAAGGTAATCACACACATTATTTCCAACTTCATATGCAATTCTTTCAAAACAAGTGTGATAAGCTGTACTAATGTATTTTGCTGCAGTGGTGTTCATTTAGGTATTGGAAGCTGTAAACGATTTCTTCCATTGCGATTCATATCTTGTTAAATGTGTGCTACTCTTCTGCTTCTGCTTCTACTAAAAAACAATAATTATGAACTACTGCACTGTACTTTTCAGAATCGTGCTCGATATATTCTTGCACTTAACAACAGGTGCATTATTCATGATTCTACAAATATATCCAGTCCTTTCTTTGCTTGTAACGGTCTCAGTGCACAAACGCGTGCTACAGTATGATCAAACTTTATCTCATCAATACATAATCATATCTGATCAATGACTATACATTTTTTCTTTTGCAAATAGACTAAATGAAGTGCAGTGTTTTTAAAATCAGTTTTCTTGATGTTGGGTTGATACGTTAGTCAACTGCAATCAGAGGAATATTTTTGGAACATAGATTAAAAGAAAGTCTATTTCAACGTGTGATACTGTTGTGCACAAGTTCTCTATAATATGACATGGCATAGAGTGGCTGTTTTTACATAGTTCATTCTTGTTTAATTAACAGTTCTTGCGATGTGCTGTACAAATAATTCTTGATTAGGCCATGATTCTTGAAATGCACCTCAATGTTTTACTTCAACTCTGCGTGTTTGAGGATAAGCCATGTCTTGTTCTTGCAGCTGGGAACATTTGCTATGGATAACTTACAAATACCTTTCAAATACACTGTTTCCATACTCCAGCACAAAATCTTCCAGCTGAGGTCACACTACAAGTCCACTTACAACACTTGGACTTTGCAACAACAGACAAACATTAAATGAGTGTCGGGAAGCCAACACTTTAAAACAACAAAGAACTAAACAAGCTATATGTAAAGATTGAAAACATATTACTATAGATACTTCCTGAATTTGCTCAAAGGTAAATGTAGGACATCAATACAGGCAATCACCTCACTATAAGTACAAGTACCTTCATTTTTCAGCCTCCCATTGAAGCTAGTCAAGCAAATTCAGAAAGTGTCTATTACTATATAGAGTTATACCAAATCATATTCACATCCTACAGAATGTTATAATATTGTGTTAACACAAATATATAGGTGTAAAACTTAATGGTTACACATTTCAACATACCCATTGGTGGTCGAGTGTAGTCCCAAGTTTCATGATCATTCTTGAAAACACTCAATTTCGGCACCTAAAGACAAAACAATTTTGAATGAATAAACTTTAACCCATTGAGCGCCAGCGCTCTCCCTCAACGAGTAAAATCACATAAAATAGGGTGCATGGTACTGGTGCCTTACTTTATAACATTAATTAAAATAATAAAGAAGGGCACCAGTAACTCCAGACAATGGGCTTTCGCTTGAAACGTTGAAATTCTCATTATATTTTTCAGGTAGTTGCAACCAACGAAAGTTTGTTCACATGGGTAATACTGTACCCATTATTTATTTTAGTTAATAAAGGTAATATTACTATTACAAAAATAGTACCAAACAGAACCAATAACTACAGAAATTTTGTCCAACATTTCCAGGTGAAAAAATAATTCATAGCACAAAGTACATGTAAAAGGAAGTTTCTATAAACTTACATTTGCAAATTCAATTTTCAAAGTGTTAAATCCTTCATAAAGATCCCAGCCATCTAGAGCATCTTTTGCTTGTTGAGCTGACATTGGGTTGTCAAATCTTTGTTAGTAGTTAAGAATACAAATACTAAAGTTTCTGAATCCCTTATATTCTCTTTCTACCAGTTATTCCCGTTTTTTTTGCTGTTCCTTTTCCCTTTTTTTACTTCTTTTTAATACTATTATATATTTCATGCCAACACACACTCATCAAATGTGTTTTTTGGTTTCTCAAATAAATCTATACCGTCCGGGACTCCAAATAATTTCAATAGATAAACTCAAAACTCTTGGAAGAAATAAGTTGAAGCTGGTCATAAGAAGTTGGCATTGGCATTTTATTCAGGAATCACAGTGCAAAACTCAAGGTAAATAAAAATTACTTGAAACCCAAATTTTAATTCTCAACTGAATAATTTCAAAAGGATACTCAACCATGGCTTGCAACTGCCCATGTTTATTAAATATTACAATTCTTTGAATAAAACCATATCCTTGAAATACTTCATGTAAGTTACTCTAAAACAAACAAGTGTGATTTGATATTATTTTCATTATTGCTTCTTAACCCGACCACAAGACCCAGAGAAAAACCCTTGTAGCACAATATTAGTGAATAGTAGCATACTTACTGTAGTAACTCCATATTGAGCATTGAGTATTGTCAAAAGTAAAATCCTCTTGCCTGCAGAATTTGTCATCTCATCATAATTTGGTTCATTTCCATACCTGCAAGTTACATACAATAATTAACATACAAGTTTTTACATTCATTGTAAATTCTATGGGCAATAATTTTGCCATTCCAAAAACCAGAAATCCAAAAATTTAATCTATTTGTCCTTGGGCAATGTCCATTAGACCCACAAATTTTTGTATTAATTAACACATTTGATATTTTTAAGTTATTATGCTGTGATGCTGACCAACTGGCTGACCGACAGACAAACAGATGGTCAGATCGACACACACTCATCATGAACTCCTAACTTCATATTTGTTGTATATCTATATTATTGTAAAACTATATCACAACTTTCTTTAAAATTTTATGTACTATATATTAACTGACATATAGCTATCGTTTGAATTTAATATTTGCTGTAATAGGGGCCTTGCACTAAAAGCTTCTTAAAGTTTCTTAAAGACTCCTAGCTCTAGTATTCAACAGTCGTTATACTGTATATTCTATCTTAATTATGTAAATAGGGCAAATTTTTAAATAAATAAAAAAAACACACACACACATGTAAACGCCAATGAAAACATAACCTCCTGGGGCCGGTTGTATAAAACTCTTAATTACTTTTTAATCACTATTTTGTAGTTAAATAGTGATTAACTCTCAAATACACGCTTCTTATTGGATGACGTTTCCACTAACTATAGTTAACTTTAATCACTTTTTTATACAACCGGCCCCTGGTGTAGTTAATTACCTGGTAATTGCCTGGCTCTTGGAAAAGTTGAAGAATGCAAACCTTCCACAAATGCTCACCTTACTTGTCTATATAAAAATTGATTTTCAAATCAGAATTAATAATTTGTAGACCCCAATACGGGTGTAAAAGTTGCAATTTATCAATAATTTACCACACACCTGAGATCTTTCAACCAAACTTGTGGCACTCTCTATATCATCAAATTCAACCAATGCTTGCTTCTTTTTTGGAATCAATTTTATGCAACTAAAAATCATTTGATATAAGGCGTAAAAAAAATACCTGTGGTTCCGGTTCCCGACCGACCCTATTTTTTTCTGCCGACCCTATTATTTTTACAACACGATTGACCGTGCGACCCTATTTTCTCAGGGTGGTTGCGGGCTACTGCCAAAATGGCATCTGTTGTCACACTAATTATTGAAAAAAACATGAAAAAAATATTCAAAAAACATTTATTTTGACCTACCGACCCACATTTTTTTGCGATATGAAACCGGAACCACAGGTTTTTTGGGAGGTACTGCCTTTTACAGTTAATTTAAATATTTGAAAAATGTTTTCACATTGCTTAGATTTTTCACATCAAAAAAGTACCCCAAAGAGCACAATTTGGCCTTCATGAGAAAGGCTAACTAGCTAACCTCCAATGTGCCCCAATGAACCCTATTTCTATTTTCTACTATGTAAATATTCTACCCTGTAAATGCAAGAAATTTTTAATATAATATTTACAAATGCAAGCAATATATAAGGTTTCCAAAAAGCAAAACATTTTCCAAACCCACCCACCCTGTCGACAACAATTTCGGAATTTCGGGAAAATGCAAAAAAGTCAGGCACATTTATTTCTGCTCCTTAATTCCCCCCCCCCCCATACACCTACAGTTGGCAGGTCTTTCATCTCCCCCACTATTTAGAAAGGCCTGCACCCTGCAGAGAAGGTAGACTTTCCAGGGCATGGTATAAACATTGATATTAAATATTTTGGGCACTGGTGACCAACAAATAACCACTGCCAACAAAACAAACTATGGAAACCTGTTTACTAGGGTAACCCTGCTGCTAGAATTTCCCTATCACTATGTAAACAGGCCGAAGTTCTAGAACACAAATTTAATATGCTGTGCACGTGTTCAATATTAATTTTTGCGTATTTTCCATCAGTTCCCTACAGGCTATAAATAATTAAATATACTTTGGCGAAGCTACGATCTAACCACTATATGTTAAGAAAAAAAACTGTGCATCAAAGCCAACAAGACCACAAGGTAGCGGAAGTTAAGTTTCTCACCTGATCCGACCAAATTCTTTCAGGGATTGCACGATGTCAAAATCTCCAGCTCCCTCGGCAACGCCGCGAACGTGAACAACTTTCGATGGTGGCGAGTAATGTGGGTTGTCTGGACTAGTGATAGGCATTGAAGAACCATCTTCAAGCTTTTGGCGCTTTGGTGCTTGTCCATCTGTACCGTTTGACATTTTAGAAAGATATATTTTGAAGACACGAAGTTAAAAATCTCAAAAGATCAAAATTATGAACGAAGTCTTTGATCCAAGTGACGCTGAGCCTGCTTTACGACAGCGGTTTGATACGTGACATGGTTATACTTCATATTAGATAACATATTGTACTTGCATTCTGGTACCGTCGTTTGCATCTAAGCATGAACATTCATTGATTACTCAGTATTGGAAATCATTCTCACTACACGACTTTTGCTTGCGCATTTACACAGAACACATGAAACCGAACGAATACCAATAGGCTATTGCACTTTTTCCTCAATTTAAATGCTTTCTTGTTTTACCATGTGTCGTGCGCGAATAGGTTTCTTTATGACTTTGAGCCCAATCATAAACCTATCCTTAACCCGCACGGAAACATGAGGAAATACAGTATAACCACATGAAATCGAGGCCACTGGGCAATAGTGCAATAAACTGTCTATTCGTCTTTTACTCAACACAACATCCGCTGGTTTAATCGTAATTACTTAGTGATTCTAAACATTTCTTAGAAAATATACAACAACTGTGTTTATTATTAATTTAAATTCGATTCTACACCACTCCGTCCTGCCAATATTTAGCTTCGGCTAACACAACATGGATTAAATTACAGTGCAGTTTTTATACATAGGGCTATCTTACTAAGGTAAAATTTTAGTTGGAAGGGTATGTGCAAAGGTATAAATTAAAGGCACAGTGTCACCTGCAGAGCGCGCCATTCACAAACTTTCTCAAGTTTCTCAAGTCGCATTTGCGCAAAAGGAGTGCAGAAATTATTTAGCTCAAAAATGGCTTCTTTTTTAAAAAATAAGTCTGCTTAATTTACACCGAATCTTCAATTTATATATTTATTTAAAATAACTTCAATTTTCGTCTCCAAACATGATAAATAATGACGTTATAAATTACGTTATTGTCATATTATGGTCACATCATAAAATCACATCGCTCAGCAGGTGACACTGTGCCTCCCCTGTGTTCCTTGCTTGTACCTCGGTTCCCTCGCACAGGCAAAGGTGATGGAGTAGGTTAGGATAAATAGATTAGAAGAGCAGAGAAGCAATATCACAATAACTGTGGATGTAAGAGCGATACTAGGCCCAAGAAAAAATTCTCCTGTGATTCTCTGCCTCCTTGACCAATTAAGGATTGCACTCTAGCTTAGGGTATTGCTATTAACAAAATATATTTCTAGTGCTGATATTCTACATTGGAAGCCCAAGAGGCCGGCCTCGTTGAGTGAGCCCTTCAAATCGTTTGAATGTATAATTAAGAAAAACCCAGTCCTTTTTATTTGTTGATTGCACTTTAGATGGATCATCTACAAGACAAAGTAATAATTGCATGTTAATGACAGGACTGGTGTATATGTCTAAAATTGTCAGAATTTTGGGGCATTTCACTCGATAGAACTAATTGGAGATGGGTTTTGTAAATGGAAATGTGTGAATTTTATACATTTATATTAGACGACTTAGACTTGACCAGGAGCAGTTGCAAAAAATACAACTATAGCCTTATATAGGCCCTCGAATCATGTGGCACCAGCAAATCCCTTTCGGAAATTGGATACCTCCACATACTTCCACATATCAAAATCTCGAAAGCAGAGAGAAATCTTGATAGAGCCATCTAGTATACATGAATTGAAGTTTGTTTAATATCTTTACCTGAAGGCTCGAATTTCATATCTAAATCAGGAAACTCGTCGAAGTTTGAAGTGTCATCAATACTCTTCACTTCGATAGGTATTGGGGCTGGTCTATCCCTAAAGTAAACAACAAGACGCAATTTCATTCCAAAACTCCTTTCAAGTAGTATTGACCTTACTTGTCGAGCAAGTATATCATGAGCATCTGGTTCCTGCGAATGAATTAGCCTTTCTCACGATGACGAATATCCGCCATTTTTGGGTGGCATCTAATTCTCGTTAACCATTGCAGACACTTAAAACAATGTGAAAAGCAATTTTTCAAAATAAACTAACCATTTACAAGGCAAATTTACCATCATTCGTCCAAAAAATTATAAAAAGTCGCTGTTATGTGGACTTATTTCGCAGACTTCGGCTGAAATGCCACCCAAAAATGGCGGCGTGAGAAAGGCCAATTGGGCACACACAGCCTGCATAGTTCATATTGGATCCATATTGGGTTACCTTATGTGTTCCCAGTCTACACCTCGCAAGAATGGTTGTTGTTTGATTTCCTCGACACCGTTAGTACCAATCCTGTTCTCACGTTCACAACACAATCTGTACAAATAAAGCCAGAGATTATTTAGAGAAAACTAGTAGAGCTATCCAGTATAGGTTAAGTTACCGGTAGTTTAGTTTAGGTTTACTCTTGTCATAGTACAGGATACAGTAAGGCCAGTAAGGGGTGGTCTCTACTGTAAATCTAATTAGTATTGAATACCTGTGAATTAGATTTCTTGATTCTTGAGAAATTGGTATTTCTGGAGGGAAGACGAGCATCTCCTTCCAGTTCATCACTTTCTTATACGTTTCTGTACAATAGAAAAATATTTTTTGTGAAAGACTGATCACACTTTTTTCAATCTGGGTATTATAACAAAAAATGCAAAAAGTATCAAGTGTCTTATCACGCATATATCACTAATGCACAAACCTTGAGGAGTTTCTGAGCAAAATGGAGGATATCCTGTAAGGAAGATTGTAAAATGTTAAAAAACAATCTGGTTTGGCCTCCTCTGCAGGAACTAATAGGATTATGGTGAACCTCGGAGTAACCCTGAATATTTCCCTATAAAGGAGTTGCCAACGGAGCAGGCTAATTTTGGTATAATTTAGATGAGGGATGCTGTTAGATCTTCTAATTAAGGTCCAGGGAAAGGGGGAAAAGTAAGATATGAATGCTTAATAGAGGAAGTATGGTAAACACAAACAATGTCTTACCAATCAGCATTTCATACAGTATCACTCCTAAACTCCACCAATCAGAGGTCTTGGTATATCCTGTTTGTTGAAATACCTCAGGAGCGATGTAGTCTGGTGTTCCTACTGTAGAATATGCCTGCATAACATCAATACAACATCAATTTACACAGAACCTTTCTGCTAAACGTACAGGATAAATGTACATAGAAATAATAACAGTTTTTTACCAGAGCTCTTCTCATTCGCTTCCATGTGGCAGCTTTTCGTTTTGAGTCCATAGGATCGTTAACTGCAATTGAAGAGAAATGGCATGAAATATGCTGTAGTGAATGCTCTAACGACCTGTGAAAACAGTCGTTAAAGGGCGATTCTTGTACATTAATGTAATAAATTTCAATTCTTTCCCAATGCAGCAAACAGTAAAATACAATTACCAAAGTCATGCATATCCTGTGGTTGAAGTTCTCGATAATAGTCAGTTCGATGCGCTTTTTTCAAGCCTGTACACAAACCAAAATCAGCAAGTTTTATGTGACCCTAGAAAGCACAATGCAGTACATTACAAACATATACTACATGTAGGTTGACTATAATCTATGTATAAATCTCTGAATATAACTTGGGGTGTCAAAATGAAGCACTTTCTCAACCTGTGCAGTGAACAGGATGTCCTGAAATGAAATCATTTCACCTTTTTTATATTCTACTAACCCTGCTATCCAGCAACAAGTTGTCAGGTTTTATATCTCTAAAAAGAGAGAAGAGCTTGATCATAACTTGATATTTCAACAATGTTAAAGGCCATGTTACACGAGGCAATTATTGCTGCAACTAATTGCAACATCTAAAAAGTAGTCGCAAGGAAATTGTGAGCATGACCCACATTCCACTCTGTTGACACTTTCTTTACATACCATACTCTTAAGAGATGAAAAAGTAAACCAATTTCTCTGTGACTACATTTGAAAAAAGATGGTTCTTTGTCAGAAATTAAATATAAAAATGTTATCAATCTTTGGAGTGACACTTGTTTTGTATTTTAAAAATTGCATTGCAAGTTTCAGCAAAATTGCCTTGAGTAAGTAATAAGCAACAAAGTTCTAATGAGTCATGTACATTATGTGTGCACAAGTCACACGTATACTCACCTGTGTATGAATCCCAATGTATGTATAGAGTCAATGGCTAGCACTGATTCTGCAATATACATGCGTGCTTCTTCTTCGCTAAAAGTATCTTTCTTCATCAACATTGTCATTAAATCTCCTAGAGTATACAGTAAGAGAAAACATGGAATGTATTCCTCATTGATGTATACAATAATAACATACAGTAGTAACATTCGAGGGTTCAGTTATTAAGTAAGTAAGTAGAGCTTTTGAGCAAGACAGCAAATTTTTGCCTGTCTGCACATTGTCTTGCGCATACTTTGTTCTTTGAAGTCCACAACAAATTTTGCCAGAATATTAAAGAGAAAATGCGACATTGCACTCACCTCCGGGGAGAAATTCCATGACTAAATACAAAAATTGTCCATCTTGGAAGGAAAAATACATTTTAACAACCCATGGATTTTCTGCCTCAGCCAGAATATCTCTTTCTGCTCTAACATGAGCAACCTGAAGTAGAGTTTAGGCTTTCATTTAGTCTTTTTCAAAGGGGAAGCTATTTCATTTTCCTTCGTATTGCCAAGTTTACGTCGATAGCATGACAATGTAAATTCATTTGATACCATGTAAATTCATTCAAAAGCCTTAGAATTAATACAATTTGTACCATTGCCTCAAGGCTCAAAGTTGGAAAAATGACTTATTGCATTGAAATACTGCACCTGTTCCTTTTCCAACATGTCAGCTTTTCTAAGAATCTTCATGGCATAAACATGACCAGTGTCTTTCTTTTGAACCAGACGTACCTAAGTAATAACACAAGATCAAAAGATAACATGTACCTCACAGAACGTTTTTCATTTTCCTTGTGGTCCCAGAAAATCAAATATTTTTTCCACCTCACATGGCATTGACCAGAAAATGGGTGCATGTGTACCATAGGATATTGCAGGGCTTCCAATTTTCTTCAGAATGAGACAATAGTCAGTAGAAAACCACTACCTGACATGTCTTTTTCCAATATTTCCAATATTAGATCTTTATTGATACTCACCTCACCAAAAGCCCCTCTTCCAATTACTTTCAAAGAATCAAAATCATCAATGCCAAGTCTTGATCTTTTTAGTCGCAAAAATTCTGTTTCTTTCTGTGCATGTAATGATCTCCTTTCTTCTTTCTGGTTGACAAGAAATACAATTATTGCACTAAAAATCTCAAGATATAATAGTATGCCTGTTGTCAGGGGCATAGGGGGCACATGCCCCACTCCCCACCCCCATTTTTTCAAAGAACTAAAAGTGCCCTTTTTTTGTGATGAAAAGTGCCCTTTTTTTGTGATGAAAAGTGCCCTTTTTGTACAAGCTAATGTCGCTGTAAATACTAAATTAACATCAAAGGTGCCCTTTTTGTTTGGAAATTCCCAAGGTTTTAAAAAAAATTTGGTCAAAAACACGCAATTTTGGTATGGTACGACAGGAAAATTTTTCTTCTGTCCTCCCCCCCTCCCCTGTCGCCAACATTTCCGGGAAAAAAATTTTAGGTGCCCTTTTCAATACCCTAAAGTGCCCCTAGAAGCCGGTGTCCCCCCCATCTTTTGATGCATCCTATGCCCCTGCCTGTTGTATTTTTACTTTTTTGCAGGAACAGCAACCAAAAATAATTTGCAGTTGACTTTTCTCAAACTTTCCACAGTTTGCACAATGCTTCCCTTGAAAAGTTCTATGTCTGTTTGTCAGTAACATATATTCAACAGAGATTAGAATCGTTTGATGTTAGAAAGATATCAAATCATAAAAGATAGCATGCTTCTGTTTGTCAGTAATATATATTGAGCAGATTAGAATCATCTGATGCTAGACATATATTAAATCATAAAGAGAGCATGCTTCTGTTTGTCAGTAATATATATTGAGCAGATTAGAATCATCTGATGTTAGACATATATTAAATCATAAAGAGAGCATGTTAGGGCACATTGCATAATTTATCAAGCAGGTGATACTGTAAGCCCAAATTTGCACTTAACCCATTAAGCACCAGCACTCTCCCCTTGACAAGTTAAATTGCATGGCATTAGAGAGTAAAATAATAATTAAAGTATGACGCATTAGAGCACAATACAACTGTATGGGTTAACAAGAGGCATTTACAGGTGGTCTGGGTATTAACTCACAGTTAAATTATCTGTTGTCAAGGGAATATTATCAGGGCAAGTTTGTGACATAAGCTAAAAAGTATAATATCACTGAGTTGAATTGAAAATTTGTTTCCTTCATAAATATCTCAGGCAATGACAGTATAAATTATAGATCGTTTAGATTATCTAAACCTGCATTCAATTTCAATCAATTAAACAAGATTAGAATATTATTACATGTAAGATATTGACTTTCAAACCACTAAATCATAATATTTTTGACAGGTTCAGTTTTTTACATACATGCTAGTGCATAGCAACCATTCAAAATAAGAAGTCACGAAAACACTTTAAATTTATGTCAAAGACAAAATGTATCATGCAGTAAAAAATATAATTTCCGGAAACTATTTCAAATTAATATATAAACAAGATTACATTTATATTGGTTTTGTGATTGCGATGTTTGTATAAGATTTCTAAAAATATACACTTTAAATTTATACATCAAAGACGAAACGAAGGCGAAATTGCTTATAAGTAATTGTATGTAATATTGTTTAATAAATACATCGTGAGAAACAATATTTTTGCATCATACCTCTTGGAGCGTTAAGCCTTGTTCCTCCATGGCTGCCTCGAGACAACGAAGCCTAAATCCAAAATAAAAATAATGTAAAAAAAGTTTAAAGCACAAAGAAGAACACATTAATATCATCAATAAATCGTGCAGCAATTTATTCAATCACCTTGACTTTCTGTCTTTATGCTGGGCTAGTAAGTTCGAGTAGAACGATTGAAGAGACACCTTTGTCTTGGCCGCTTTCTCGAGCGTATGCGGCGAAAAGCGTTCCTGTGAGCCACTTGGATTTGATGTGGTAGCCGACATATTGTTGCAAGGCTTCTATTTTCCGTGTAAGCTAAGCCATTGTCAAAAACGAAAGTAACTTTCAAGTGAATAAACAAGCATAATTGTTGTGTTGCCTTTTGGCAACTTTTGCCTTTGGCTATTTAAAATTTTCTTTCCGCTCGGCCCAGGCTTGCTCGAACGCGAAGTAAACAGTGCGAAGTACTTCATTTAGATGAAAATTTAATGTCATCAACCCGAAATAAACAACACAATCAATGGTGACAATTGTTTTTTTTTTATTCTTTTGTTTATAACTATATAACAATGTGGTGTTTTGGTTGTATGAAGAATCACGAGAGTGTGAAAACATGTAGTCGTTGCAAGATAAACACATACTGTTCAGTTCGATGTCAGACTGCTCACTGGCCCTTTCACAAACGTAACTGCCTACCAGCAGATTCTGCAGTTCATAAATTATTCCATGTCTGTTGGGAAGACCTCATCCCAGCTTCTACTAACCCTATCTGGTGGCAATTTGGTTTTGCAAATATTTCTGAATACCACGGGATTGTTATTTCAAGAGAGGGTTGTACCGCACTGCAAATATTGCTGGGACTCTATCAAGCTATACGAATAGATGTATCTTTAGCCGAGGACCCCATTCCTTTCCAGCCACCTGGGAACACAATGGGCATGTCAAAAAAGATGCTTCAGAAAGCATACAAAGCTAATAGACTTGATGATCTACTCCAGCGCTATATCAGCAATTCTATCAGTAGCTATGGCAACAGGGTTGCAAAGTATTTGTTCATGTGGCGCCAGAACAAGTTGATAATTGGGCCAACAAGACCAACTTCAAGTAACATGGTGGAATGGCATAAAATAAAAGAAGAAACAAGAAGAAATATCTATGTCAAGTACTATGAACATTAATGCGAACTGACTTGCACATATGAGAAGATGCAGTTATTGTAACCAACCCTATAGCTGGGTTAAAGTTTATTAACTTGGCTCAGCAGTTCAAGTTCAGTTTTTGTTGTGTTATTTATAAAATAGGGAAACATTGTTGTGTAAAGTGTACATACCACACTACAACTCTTTGTATGTGTTTTATATATCGCGGTTGAAATTTAAGGTTTTATACATTGTGTTTATATCGCTGTTGAAATAAACGTTTTAATAAACCTTGTTGTAGAACTTGAATTGTCTTAATCTCTGCTATGGCAAATATGGATGTTCCTTCATAAAGAATTATCCGTTCAGTTAGTAATTAAGGTCCGGACGAGATTCGACAACACGACGCGATTTTTAGTTTTTGAAAGTTAATAAAACAGCCAATGAGAGCAAATTTTGAAAGATATGTAGACCAAATAACTCAAAATGTTATAACTTTGGATCAAAGTTATCGTTCCATTTAAACTTGGATCAAAGTGAAAATCGAAAAATCGCGTCGCGTTGTCAAATCGTGCCCGGTGTGTACGGACTTTAGTTGCGTACGTATAACATGGATAATCCCTAAGATTAAGGTCTGTTTAACTCAGTGTTTAAGGAGGCTAAAAACAAGGAGGGAAAACAACCACTGTAGAAACGGTTAAGTTTGCAAACCAATTAATTTACAAGAGAGCTGATATTTCCCATGGTGTGAAGACGAATTGAAATGAAAGACCTACATGAGCTGTCAGTCTAAATAAGAAACCGGCACTTTTTAAAGCCGGTAACAGACGGGCAAGTTTTCTATGGCAAGTTTAATAATATTTGCTAATTACACGCGTGTACGACGTACAGCAAATTTTCTACTACGTTTTTGGTCAGTTCTGTCTGGTTTGGTCAGTTCTGACAGTGCCACGGATAGTGATTTGATCTACGCAAAAACGACACCACTCTACAATGCGAAAACGTGATACTGAGTAGCGAGAACGTTTTAGCCGTAGTTAGGTCAGCCGTTGGGATGCTATAAAACGTGATAAGATAAAAATAAATTTAATTTTGAAAGCATAATTAGCGCAGCAGGAAAGCAATCATATCGCCAGTGTTAGAATACCAATTGCATGCATGTCTTTGCAGATGCTATACATGCACCGCGAAATGCAAGATTGATAGCGAGTAAATCTAGGTTGCGCTACTGAAAAGGTGCAAAGTCCTCTCGTATTTCTTCTCGGCAATCTCCGTGCCGTGCCGAGAAGAAATACGAGAGGACTTTACTGAAAAGGTTAACTATACCATAGGTTAGCAGCCACTTTGATAGCTAAACTTATCATGCACACCGCACACGATTAAGAGCGCTTTAGAATCACAATTAGAAATAAGCAGAATAAGACATTGGCACCAAGAAGAGTAGAAACAATCCGTACGACATAGAAGCTACATAAAGTAAATTAAATTTTACAATTAGACAGAATTAGTAAGATGCATCGAGACATCGACATGCACAGTGTGTTCTAGCCTATATTATAACCGTTTTTACCTCGACGCTGGAGGTTGTGCCGAAAAGGCAGCATTACCACATTTTAGGTAATCTAGTTCACTAATTCGGTCATACTATCCTCAAATCTTCTACTAATATTTTCCGTGTAAACTACTTAGACCTCAGTACATATTGTCAAAAGCGAAAGTCACTTTTTTTCTTCTCGCTCGGCCCAGGCTTGCTCCGACACGAAGTACTCATCAATCAGGAAGTAAGCAAAACAATCAGTGCGGACAATCGGTTGTTCTACTCATTCGTTTAATATCTACTAGTAACAATGTCGTGTTTTCGTTGTACGAAGGAGGACGAGAGTGTGAAAAGATGTAGTCGTTGTAAGATAAACACATACTGTTCAGTTGGATGTCAGACTGCTCACTGGCGACGGCACAAACCTAACTGTCTACCAGCAGATTCTGAGGTTCATCAATTATTTCATATCTGTTATGAAGACCTCTTTCCAGCTTCTACTAACCCTATCTGGTGGCAATTTGGCTTTGCAAATATTTCTGAATACCACGGGAATGTTATTTCAAGAGAAGGTTATACTGCACTGCAAATATTGCTCGGACTCTATCAAGCTATACGAATTGATGTATCTTTCGCCGAGGACCCTTCTCTTCTTCAGTCACCTGGGAACACAATGGGCATGTCGAAAAAGATGCTGCAGAAAGCATACAAAGCTAATGGACTTGATGATCTACTCCAGCGTTATATCAGCAATTCTATCAGTAGCTATGGCGACAGGGTTGCAAAGTATTTGTTCATGTGGCGTCAGAACAAGTTGATAATTGGGCCAACAAGACCAACTTCAAGTAACATGGTAGAATGGCATAAAATAAAGGAAGAATCAAGAAGAAATATCTTTGTCAAGTACTATGAACATTAATGTAAACTGACTCGCACATGTGAGAAGCCTAAACAAACCTAACCCTATAGCCTCTAAAAAGTCCAAATATGCCAGCCTGTTAATTCTTAGATTAAGGAAACAATGAAATAAAAACGTGAAAATTCTAACGAGAAACACTGTAGTGTAGTGCGACAAAAGAGCACAATAATAATAATTATGTAAACTTTGTTGATTATTAAAGTACAGTATATACAACTACAATTATTTAAAAGTTTAGAGTTGTGCCCTTGCTGGTACGATTGGTACACTTTCCAGAGCACTACAGGGGCGTAGCCAGAGGGGCTGCTGTGGGGGTGTAACACCCCCCCCCCCCATTCATCAAAGACTCGGCAAATGTCTGCCTGACTCGGCAAACTGTTTTTGGATTTATCGGCAAAGGATTTGAATGGCTCGGAATAAAAAGTAATGGTTATAGTAAATCACTACCTGGAAAAAAGACCTAATGGGGTTTCTTGTAAAATTAGAAGTGTAATTAAAAATCTGAACTTTTTTAAAATATCAGTATTTGAATCAACGCATTTTCGGTCCAAAATAATTTCCAATACTTAAATTGTTAATTATAATTGTGTATTTGTATAATTGAGGGTCTTGGTCATATTATTTTCAGAAGTTCCTAGAAGCCTGACTGTATTAATCCACGTCAGAAGTGTGTTATTTACCGGCCCCAGGCCCCACTGTATTATATAGTTTCTCTTGTTGTTGATATAATTTCTTCAACTTCTTGATTTGCTTCGCGCTGATTGCTTCTCCAGTATTATCATGAGTGGGGATGCCCTAAAACAAAGACGCAAAGCACCATTTAACACGGTTATAAACGTACAAAGCTATGGCAATATAAAATGTATTTTCCCACATGTCTTTCATGGGCCTGCACGCAGGCTAGTACAATCGTTGAATAAATACATTGGGACAAAGATCACTCACCCGTGGCCCACAAATCAATGTTGAATGTAATAGTAAAGGGAGTAAAGCCCGGATCAAACCATGAGAGTGCACGAGAGTTGGCGACGTTGGGTAGCTGTTCTTCAAATGTCTCCTGTAACAATTCTTCACTCAACTCTCATTAACTCTCGTTTGACCGGGGCTGTGTTATTTACGAGATAAAAGTGATCATCACAATGACTGAGTATTTTCCCGAAATACAAAACAACGGTAACTCTGAATGTTCTTGACGCGTACGGGTTGTGTTTAGCTTATACTATAATAAGGTTTCATTTTATCTCACCTGTTCATCGAAAGCTGAATATTTATCAGTTTCGTGTTTAAACATTTCTGACGGGGGCACTTGAGCCTTGGCTAACTTAGCAGCCTAAAACAAAAACGCATCGTTTTAAATATAATCCCTGTAAGTGAGTTCAGACCAATTGTGAATCATGATGATGATGCTAAAGTGGGTTTTCGACTTTCAAGCAGTTTTTAATTATTTTTTCAGTTTCTAAGTTCAAGAACGGAATGGCTATGTCTGCAAACGGAGGCTTATTGTCATGCATGCGTACCAACCTTGTCCTCTTCTTGCCTTCTTTTCATTTCTTCCTTCTCTTTCTTCTTTTTTTCTATCTCCTACCAAACGTAAGAGAGTGAAAGAATGAACAAACAAGTGTTCATTATCAGTCTTTTAGACAGAAATAACCTAATACCTCCAGTTGCTGTTGTCTTTCTTTTCTTAATGTTTCCGGATCGACAAACTTTATTACAGATGACTGGCTTTCTAAAAAGGAAGAGAAAATCGGCTGGGAAATAAAAAAAAACAATGGTTTTATAAATATATATAATAGTATTTTATAGAAATAGCACTTGCACAGTTGTACTCGAAATCCCTCGTTAGATTAATGCTGGAGGGAACTGGAATGAATTTTCTCGGTTAAATCGAGCTTACCCTCCTGGTCCTCCAGTTTAACCCCGAGGTTTGGTAAATCTTCATCTCTTAAACGATCACACAACTTTAATATTTCCCCAACTTTTTCTTGTCTCGCGATATTGCGCACTTGCTCTCTGAAATCTGACAAAAGTTGTACATAGGGCAAAGCGATGTCTTCTTGATTCGCTGTGTTGGTAGAACTGGAAGTCCGGAAACCAATTGACTGAGGACCCTCGTTGGCTCCAAAAACCTGTAGGAAAGATTGAAGAAGTGAAACATGCAGCACCACGTTGGGAAACATGGCTAGTAGCGTAACTCCTTTGGGCGCCGCCTGGCTCAAGCCAAGGGCCCAAGTCAGTTAGATGGCCTCTGAACAAGGACGACAAAGTGGCGAAGTTGATGTATTTCACCAAATTTTTCCACCTTTTTGACGTAGCCCCCCCCCCCCTATCGCCACTTTAAATGGGCAGGACCATGAGGGGTCTATTGCAAGCCGGTGGCTCTTTAGCCCAAAGTTACACCACTGATGGCTTGGAAAATGTTTTCCGGGACAATTTTTCCTGGTTTATCACGAGTATCACGCTATATTATGACATCATACACTATACTTACTCGAAGCATATCTGTAATATATTTGGCAATGTTTTCTAATATCTGATGATTTGGAGATTCGTTCGCTTGCTTCTTTGAAGCAATGTAAATGTTTGTGAGTTTAACAAGAGACTGCATGTTGAAGAGAGCTGTAGGAGTGTCGATCGAATCTACAAAACGTAAGCAAAGTAAGGATTAGATGTCTAAAAAAGTACATATTTGTAGGTAAATGCCTCGTGGTAATCTGTGATGATGGTAATGGTGGTAGTGATGATAATAGGGAGCTTAAGATGCACCAAATCTACGACGCGGACACGACTAAAAAACAGTCGGTAATAACTGGAGACTAGTTTTACTTTTTTCGTGTCCATGGCTTTGTTTACCAACAATAATCCATAGTTTTTACTCGTGAAGTGAAACTGTGATAATAGCGGCAGTTTCTTGTCACCGTCCGCGTCGTAGATTTGGTGTACCTTATTAAGCTCCCTAATAATGAACGTAAAACTAGAATATCTAATACAGTAAAACAATTTCTATTGCTTCCACTAGCGCTAACTTATAACCTTGTTTATTTTTTTACTCTCGCAAAATATAAACCTTCTACCCAGGCTCTTTCCTGTATGTTCCCGTCTCGAGAGGAAATTATTTTGACTTTTGAGCACTTAAATTGAATTCCACTTACCACATAAGGCGTGATGCACTTCAGACTTCTTCTCATGAAAACTGTAACAAGACACAAAAAATTAATCCCACATACGTAACGCAGAATAATTATAAGGTTATTAAAAAAAATTTCGCGATGTTGTGGAATTTGGAACTTTATAAATGAATTAAAATTTTACCTTGTCTGAAGGTCCTTCTCAGCACTATGATAGTTATGACGAGACGCAGAAACGCCTTCTGGTTTACGTAGGATGTCTTTTACAGCAAGGAAAAAATCCTGGACAAAAAGGGATTCGGTTATATACGCTTAGGGTTAGGATAAGGTTAGGGTCAGGATAAGGTTAGGGTCAGGATAAGGTTAGGGTCAGGATAAGGTTAGGGTCAGGATAAGGTTAGGATGAATGTAACGATAAGAGGTATTGGATTAAAGTGAAGATTATAGTTGGAATTAGGGCTATAAGGAATAGGAACAGTTTAAAGATATAACTAGCTGTAATTTAATTGTGATTGTAGGGAAATGAGCAACTTGGACTTAATATTTTAATACATACATTAAATAGCTTCTCAACTTGAACGGCTTCTTTCAAAACATTTTCACTGTAGTCCAAAGTGGAATTCCACGCGTGAAGAAGAAAAGCCAAACGAATTTGTCGAGCAGAGTTCTTGGCGAGAGCATCCTAAGAAAAAATTTTCTAGTGGATGATGTTTCACACAACAAATGTTATTACTTCACATTTTCAGCGTTTATAACCGCACACGATTACTTTATCACTGCACAAATTGGTTATCACTGCATACTAAAATTAGATATGGCTCTCCTTCATGAAAATGGCTTGAATGGTAATTGCTACCAGATCTTGTCCACATTTTGCTCATGTAAATAACAAGAAACCTACCTTGATTGTAACAAAGTTTTTTAATGATTTGGACATCTTGCAACCTTCAATAGTCAGGTGACCAGCGTGAAGAAAATAATTTATCCATTGGTCAGAATTGTAATGAGCCTATATATGAAAAATATGTATTCACTTTAATTGAACATTTGAACTGGTAACTTATTTCCTGGTCAAATGAAGACAAGTGTTAATAAGTTTTCTTAACTCTCATACCAGCATCAAACGAGAACAAGAGCTGTATAATAAAGAGTTGATGACAGTTGAAAAAAGAATTGTTTAAAACGAGACTTTTCTCAACTCACATGCACTGGTCAAACGTGAATAAGAGCTATATAAAAGAGTTGACTGGATATAATCGTGCGACGTTTCCAAAGGTGGGCCGATGGGAGTGTATGCAAGGGAGAAAAAGACAGTTTGCAATCAGGCGCGACCGAGAGTTTCTCTCCTATATCTCATCTCGTTGTTTCAGTCAAACTATGTGGACTTCAAGCTTAGGGGAAAAAATGAAACAAGACATGTTTACCTCAGCTTGTGCCAGTTCATTATCATGATGAGGAAACTTGAGATCAACTCCACCAGTATGGATGTCTATGGGACAATCTAGAACATCACTGAAACCAAATTCAAAAGATCACTAATAGTTCATAAGCGTTCTGGCCAATTAAATCGCAGATAATATGTCAGCTGCAGCTTGAGAAGGAAAAATTGTCAAGTTTTTCCGCACACACGAGCAGATGAAACTTGTCAAGAAAAATTCGTCAAAGGAAACATTGCCCGTCTATACGAGGATTCATAAAAACTTATAGCTGCAATCCTTACCTAGCCATAACAGAACATTCTATATGCCAACCAGGTCGGCCCTGGAAAAAAATTAATTCATTGAATGCTTCTTAGCTTACTGTACATGATTATTTAATTACGGTGACAAGTAGAGGGAGAAATTTTTCATAGCCGTCTAAGTGTTTTTCCACACATGGCTCAAGAATGAATTCATTATTCAGACTTTTGACAAAGGGAGACTTAGTCCTACTGATTCACAACAAATTTACCACTGACAGTCTTTATGCAATGTGCAGTACGATTATTTTGGCCCCAGGCAGTTTCCTCGGACCCCAATTTCCAAGGCATAAATTTCTACCTAGGTTTAAGTCCAGGTCTTGTAGTCACGTGCGAATATTACGTCATGCTGAGAAAGCACGCAATTTTGGGTAGGAAGAATAACGGACCGTAAACGAAACGACTGCCTGAATTTGCAAAAAAAATTGCCTTTCTGAATTCGTATTAAGCAAGGTAAATCAAAGCGATAAACTGGTGCTCTACCAATTAGTAAACGTTTATGTCGAATTATGACGTCACTTCCCCTGAATTATAAAGAAGCTGCTCAAACACTCACTTTCCCCCAGGGCGAAGGCCAAGCGGGTTCTCCTGGTTTACTGGCTTTCCATAAAGCAAAATCCCGATTAGATTTCTTTCCTAATTCATTCTGACTTAGTTCCCCTTCGCCTTCTGCCAATGCGTCCAAATCTCCGACAGCTTCCGGTACAAGTCGAGCATACTCGTGCCGATCACTCGAGGCAAATTTCACAGTGTCAAAATAGACTGAACCTTCTGCCGCGTACCTGCAGAAAAAAGTTCCAATACGTCATGTAAGAATAATATGCTTTCACTAATACATGAGTCATATGAGGACATGAAACTTACGCAAAGCCATTATCTATAATCTTCTGTATAAACGTAACAATTTCAGGAACATATTGACTAACTCTTGTGAGACAATCAGCAGGTAGTATCTGGACAAATGCAATAAATAATACATGAATTCACACATAATTCATACAAGACTGCATTATAAAATTAAACAGTATTCTTACATTCAAAGCTTCCATGTCTTTATGAAACTCCTGCTCCCAGTGTTGAGAAAGCTCTGCGAATATGTTGTGCTCTGTTATACCAGAACCAAACTAGATTAAAACAAATGAAACCAAAACTGTTTTGCCATTACATATACAACAAGTAAATTTGAAAATACAGCTGCGGAGAAAATCAAATCTTCTAATATTGAATTGGCGTGCGTCGTTTTTGCGATTGAGACGCCTGTATGGTTTATTAGGCTGCTTATAAATTTGGGTGGAGATGTCATACACTGCATGCACACCAAGAAAAACATACCTGACCATCTAACCATGCCGATAAAGGATCAAACGCCTTTTCAAGAAGTCTCTAAAGTAAAATAATATTAAATATCCCGGTTATACAATAGTTAATCGAACTTTCCCATAAAATTTGTCCTGAAAACTAGCGCTCCTATATTCTCATCCACGAAATGCATTGAGTTAAATATTTAGTCTCTTTACGAGTCACAGAAAATCGCAAAAATTATTTCGCGTTCTCGAAAAAATCGCGGAAGCAATCATGATTCACGTAAACATACAAATGAAATTAATGGACGTTTTCGCTCGTGGAATCACGTTTAAACGGAAAACCTGGAAAAACCGCGAAAAGGCCAATTTACCTTGGTCTCATGAGAAACTTTATCATGGTCTTCTGAAGATTGAAGTTTTGTTAACAATTCTTTAACCATGTTGACCTCATTCTAAAATTTACAAATCAAACTTTTACGTTAGTTTTTGATACATTTCACATACTTTTAAACATATTTGTAGCTAACATATATACAGTAGGTATGTGAACGTTTGTCAACTGGGCAAGAAGTTCAAAGAAGTCGGATGAGACCTTGGGAGACGAGAGCAACATTGTATCACAAGATGGTTGGTAATCGAGAGAGTGGTATATAGAAAAAACCAGCCTAGACCACCTAGACCAAGAGCCTTCAATTTCAGCGATTTTTTACACGAGAGGACTGGAATCTAGGTGAGGTAGGGCAAAGGAAGGATGAACTAGATCATCCTGCAAATCTCTATACTTACAACCCCAGTTGCCACTTGTCTTAAAGGCATGATTGTCAGATGTTGAGATCCTAGGTAGCGGCGCTTGCAATGCCGTCAGAAGGTCCTATGCATGCTTAAGTAAGGTAGAAAATTTCAAGAACTCCCTTTTCAAATGCCAAAACTCCATTTCCAAATGCCAAAACTCCATTTTCAAATGCCAAAACTCCCTTTTCAAATGCCAAAACTCCCTTTCCCAATGCCAAAACTCCATTTTCAAATACCAAAACTCAGTTTTCACATGCCAGAGCTCCGTTTTCAAAACGCCAAAACTCCTTTTTCAAATGCCAAAACTCCATTTGCAAATGCCAAAACTCCGTTTTCACATGCCAGAACTCCGTTTTCAAATGCCAGAACTCCCTTTTCAAATGCCAAAACTCCCTTTTCAAATGCCAAAACTCCCTTTTCAAATGCCAAAACTCCATTTGCAAATGCCAAAACTCCGTTTTCACATGCCAGAACTCCGTTTTCAAATGCCAGAACTCCCTTTTCAAATGCCAAAACTCCCTTTTCAAATGCCAAAACTCCCTTTTCAAATGCCAAAACTCCCTTTTCAATGCCAGAACTCCGTTTTCACATGCCAGAACTCAGTGATGGTGATGATGGTGATGGTGATGATGATGATAGTGACAATGATTATACAATCTACAAGGGGAACAGTGTGATTTAAAATGAAAATTACTCACAATGATCTTTTCCATCATATTTCGTTTGTCAACATCTGTAGTCGTATGAAATTTCTGCGTAAATTTCTGTAAAACGCCATTATAGACAAATTTGGCAAAGGTTGTTCACATTGTTGTTGCTACTCAGTTCACAACTTTGGAGTAATAAAGGACTAAAACCAGTGAGCAATTCGGGTGAGAATTCTAAAGATATTGCTCCAATTCTATATAGATTAAAATACACAAACCTCCATGGACTGATCAACATCAGACAGAATTTGACCAACTGAATGTCCTTTATCTTTGTATTCTTTCATCAAAAAATTTCTTCTTGCTCTGAAAATAATCTGTGGAGTTAAAAGCAAAATGATTAAGATGTTATTAGCAATAACACAAACATGCAATGCAAAATGAAACACATCAAATCATGTTGACAGTGATTAATTGAAGGTAGAGGATTGCTTAGGTCACAGCTCAAACATCACCAACTAAGTCAAAAGCATACTAGGGGGGGGGGGGGCGAGCACACATATATCAAGAAACAATACCCTCCCACCCTCCAGTAGGCACCACCAGGCAAGGGGAGGCAACTGCCTTGCCAATGCGTGTGTGAGGTGGTCGCATCATTTCAGACCCAAATGTTTTTCTGGGGGGGGGAGGCATACTCCAAGACCTGACTTCACAAATTAAGTTGCCCCCCCCCCCCAAATAAAATCCTGTCAGTGCCAATGATACCATCAACCTACTGTAGTGTACATTAACAATATGTATTACAACCTAATTGCTAACCTTATCATCTACATCAGTAATATTCATCACATAAAACACATCATAGTTGAAATAATGTTGGAAAACTCTTCGCAGAATATCAAATGCAATGTAAGATCTATAAACAATTCAAAATCATCTGCAATCAAGTCCTAATTAACCCACTGAATGGCAGCGCTCTCTCCTTGATTAGTAAAACTGCCTGGTGTTAGACAGATTAAAATAATTTATAAAATAACATGTATATAACGCGTGTTCTGATTGGTCAAAAGCGAGTTAAGAAAAGCGGGCAAAATCACTCGCCTTCGGCTCGTGATTTCGCTCGCTTTTCTTAACTCTCGCAACATTCCCGCGTGTTTGGATCAGGCCAACCAAACACGGAAACCATAAAGTAATTGTATAATAGTACTATCGTGTTGTTGTTATTTTATAAAACAATTACTTTATGGTTTCCGTGTTTGGATGGACTGATCGAAACACTTGGGAATGTTGCTCGAGTTAAGAAAAGCGGGCAAAACCACTCGCCTTCGGCTCGTGATTTCGCTCGCTTTTCTTAACTCTCGCAACATTCCCGCGTGTTTGGATCAGGCCAACCAAACACGGAAACCATAAAGTAATTGTATAATAGTAGGGGGCATCAGGGCACATGGCCAATTAAAGGGTTAAGACATACGTCTGTAACAAACTAAAATCTGGTATGCTCATGAGCATGCTCGCATACATACACATAAGATAGTTGTAATGTTGTTGATAATACAGAAATTTCCTCGGGAGAGGGAGTGTGGAGCTTAGAACATGTCATTTTGATACATACTCAATTATGCAATATTACAAATTACAGTAGCTTATATTATCTGCATCACCTATTCCCATCCCATTTTCATTGTTTTCTGCCCAGTTAATTTTCAACACATTTTCTGCCCAGGCTTTTCTAGCTGCCTTGGTGAAAAACAACACATCTTACCTTGCATGTCCCATATGTGAAGCATCATAGACAGTAGGCCCACAGCAATACCATTTCACCAGACGGCCTTTATGAGGAATGAAGTCATTCTGTAAAAATAACCAAAAATTTAGGCACTAGCTGCCACTAGCTCTCCCCTGGCCCAGTAAAATCATGTGGTATTAGACAGAGTAAAATAATAAAGTAAGGTAATGAATAACAGTCTTCCTTCATATTAGACATACTTAGATCAAGGATGTGGACGTCAAAGACGACATTAAAATGGTGTGTTGTGCCCATGTATGGATATACCACACCATTTTGATGCCTTTTTCACATCGTCTTTGACGTCCGTGATCTAAATCCAAGAACCAAGATAAGAATCCACAGAATGTGTTTGGGAGGGGGGCAAATGAGTGAACAAAGCCTATTGTAATCAGATTAAATTTTAGCCATATACTATCAGTTACCTTTTTACTCAGTAAAAAAGTGAGGTATGGACCCCTGACCAGCACCACCTTCCCCTCCTCCCCCCCAACCCAGCTTTGCTGCAGCCTCCGAGCGTTAGAGACACTATTTTAATACAGACAGTTTTCAATGTCCCGATATACATGACTTTCTATAAAATGGATACCTCTAATATGAACACTTTACATTTGGATGTATCCAAGAGTGTTTGTATTGTCTTGTGTATATTCATCTGGTTTTTATCTGTGTGTCTGTGTGACCTTACCTTTTCTTTTGTCAAGCTGTTATATATATATAATATATACTATTTTAATACAGACAGTTTTCAATGTCCCAATACACATAATTTTCTATAAAATGGATACCTCTAATAAGGACACTTTTATACATTTGGATGTATCCAAGAGTGTTACTTTGTATTATTGTCTTGTATATTCATCTGTTTTTTATCTGTGTGCCCTTACCTTTTCTTTTGTCAAGCTGTTATATATTTTAAGTTCACACTCTCCATCGGGTTTATTCCAACTTCTCTTCATGTCGACTTTATTACAGCACAACCCGGCTGATGTAACAAATCCCTTTAATCCAGTATTAAATAGATTTTGAACCCTGCTTTGGTATGACAATACGCGATATCCAACAGAGAAAACCCGCAATTTTTTAAGCATAGGAACTAAATGACAAACAGTTGGGTGTGCAAGAGATGAACACTCGAGTATTGATATAAAAAATAAAATTTAGATTTAAAATAGAAGTTTAATATACAACAATGATTTACCAAAATATAGTAAAAGACTAAAGTACACCTCATGATAGCCAGCAGTATCATGCAGCAGCGGTCGTATTATACGAATTACCGGGGGGAGGGAGGGGGGAATTTACCCCAACGCCTTTGTCGTAGGGTAAGAAGTTCGTACATTACAGTCAATTTCAGCTGACTTTTCATCGTAAGGTTCCGAACTTCGTTCCGAACTTCGCAAATTCATTGCCAAGTTCAAAAGTTCATAATGAAATTCACAAACCTGTTTGTGAATTTCATTATGAACTTTTGAACTTCGCAACGAATTTGCGAAGTTCGCAACGAAGTTCGGAATCTTACGATGAAAAGTCAGCTGAAATTGACTGTAAGGTGGCTCCCAGGGTTTATTTCCGGGGGTTACGTTCTTCGTATCATGGATTGTAAAATAAGATTTTTATGCCTGTTCATCTGGGCAAAAGTTATCCCGGTTAGCGAGAAAACTTTTCGACAAGTTTACAAGCGAGATCTCGCCTTGGTATTAAAATAATATGAAAAGTTACACTGCGTTCATATGAGACAAAAGTTTTCCCGTGTACCGAGATCTCGCTTGTTGACAGACGAGATCTCGCTTGTTGACAGGCGAGATTTTAGTGACCGGGATGTTTTGCCCATATGAACACAACTTTCCCCGACTTAGCGGGATAAGTTTCGATCGTGTCAGCAACTTTTCAATTCAACTGCTGTTCAGTGCTACGTCACAGCCGAAAACTTTACCCGGTAAGCGGGATAAATACGTTTCTCCATATGAACAGAATTTAATTGAACAAAAGTATTTAATTGACTAGTCGAAAAGTTTTCTCGTTAACCGGGATAACTTTTGCTCATATGAACACGCGCTAAGTTAGATGAAAAGCACAAAACACACTGCTTTCACCTCCCCTCTCCCCGTTTAAAAAAACTTCCTGAAGTATGTTACACGATGGTGTTGTGACACCCAGCTATTGGCCGGATTTATACTAGAGACGGATCATCCGTCTGGACGAACTTGGGCAAGCAAAAGGTAGTTCGTCTTCTAGTTCGTCTGTGTATAAACGTGGGCAAACAGACGGATCATCCGTCAAGACGAATTATCTGCATAGTTCGTCTGGTTCAGGGCGCTTATAAGCGCCCTGGTCTGGTTAGACGAACTTGCGTGCGTAATTCGTCTTGACGGATGATCCGTCTGTTTGCCCGCGTTTATACACAGACGAACTTCCCATGCAGTTGTGATCGCGCGATTCTATTTCGTCTGGCAAATTCGTCTACATAGTTCGTCTACATAGTTCGTCTTGTGTTTATACTTAGACAGATCATCCGTCAGACGGATGATTTGTCTTGACGGATGATCCGTCTCTAGTATAAATCGGGCCATTTTCATTAACTTCTAGTTAAAAACTCCACAACAAAATTATTCTTAAATTATATTTTACTTGGATTATTTTATCAAACACAGTATTTTCCAATCCTCTCCACTCAGTAATGTACATAATAATTGGAAAAAATTTCAATCCCCTAAATTTCCGCTTTTTAATGTATAACCCACTGAGCTGTAATGGTAAAATCCAACCTCGTACCCAGGCCTTTGCGCGGTTCAGAGGCCCTTTGCTTCCCATACCATAGAACAAAGATCCATATAGAAGGGCCACTTACGTCGGAAGCTTTGAAATTTTTGTCCACGCGCATGTCGCATTACGCATGTTGGCCGCCATCTTCCTAGCCAGTCAATGACATTTTCTGGCCAATAAACACGCTGTACTGGCTGGCTGCTCCGCCTTCTGACCAGTAAACTGCATATTTTTGCATAAAAAAACGAGGACACGTTGCACCGCCGTGGCCCTTCTGTTACTGATCTTTATTCTGTGCCCATACCAGAGCCTCTGAACCGCGCAAAGGCCCTGGGTACGAGGTTGGGTAAAATCAAAGTCAGGCCAAGTCCTTTCTCCTCCGCAGAGCCCCCTTAAGTATTTACAAATAACTTACATGAAGTTTCTTAAATAAAAGTGAGCGCACAGGGAGCGATAGACACTTCCGCTGACCAGAAATTTCATGTAAAAGGAGAGAGGGTCAGGTCCATCCAGTGGGTCCATCCAAACGAGCAAATGACCCGGGGGGATACAATCTGCATGTGTGAAAGCTAATTAGGAATTACATCTTTCTTGTTTTCTAACTGGTCGATAAATTCATCAAAATTTTTCATGTTCTCTTCAAAAACATCCAATTCATTACTGACGGTATCCTAAGAAAGAAATTCGCTCTTTAAATTCACGAAAACACATATAACAGTAAAATTCCTGTTATAGTTTAATAAGCTATATATAAAGCTCCGACAAATTCGGAACAGTACGCAAATTCTCCGGTCGAAATATGTGATATGTTATTATGCATTAACTAGTTAAGAAAAATTGTATAAACAATTATGGAATGGAATCTACTTCCAAAAGAACACCAGCTACGTCGCAGGTTGCTTCTGAACTTGGAATTTCACAGTCATTAATTTTTTTTATATTCTATTTATCTTATTTAGAGCTTTTTCTTTTTATTTGTAAATAGGCCTAAAATGCTCAACAATCCTAAGCCTTCGCTCGAAACATCGAATTTTCAGTACTTTGCAGGTATGCAGACAAGCTCGCAATTTGTCACATACCATGAGAGTGCTGAGTGGCTGTGCTGCTGCTGCGTGATCAAACAGCTGCAGAGGCGGAGCATTCTGACATTCACGATAAAATTGAGTGAGGTCTGTTGATGATGTTTCTGGAGCAAACGCCGCTTTCTAAAAGAAAAGATTTCATTCAGCTGTAATATCACTTCCTAGTAGGAAATGCATATCATACATTTTACTCTCTGTGAGTGCAGTATGGTATGATGTGTGGTACTTTATGGCATAGCATGGTATTGTCGTATGGTATGGTATGGTATGGTATATGGTATAGAATATAGGAAAATAGATTCAGCTGCACAATATTATGCAAGAAAAATCTTTCATTTTGCGTTTTACGTAAAGTCGTGATGTAAAAAAGCAACTTACTAATTCCACCATAATAAAATCGTCTTCAAGTGCGCTTTGACTTGTATTTGTGCTAGTTTTTGTATTCTTAACTGTGTTATTTTCATTTTCCTGTAAAACAAAGGCTCGTATGAAGGAAACGTTCTAGCACACAACATTTGGGCAGTATTCAAGTTACCTTTTCATGTCCAGAGCTAGTTGATGTTTGCTGACTGTTAGAGGACTTATTCAATAACAGACTGGCAAATGGAGGTGTGGACGAAAGTGGAGTAATTCCTACCTGTATATAACAAATGGAAAACATAAAACTACCATTCCATCGAATTTTTAATGCTTGTATTCTGTTAATCAAATCACGTGGCGTTGTGTTGCATGTCAAATATAAGGTAGGAGCAACAAACATTGCAACAACTTTGTCCGTTTTGTAACAAAGGTTGATTTCAACTTCAAAACGTTCACACAAATATACACGTTTTACCGAACATATGTCCAAATCAGCATTTATTGCCATATTTGACTAAAATATATATTATTATGTGGTAAGACTTACTGAACTCCTTTTCCCCTCGGCTACAAAAGCAGCGTGCGTGGCATAGCCAGCATTCGCATCCTTCGTTTCTGAAAACGTTCTATTCCTGTGGCGAAATAAGACAAACACAAACGTATTAGTGTGAATCAGTGATATCTTTATAATGATCCTAGTTTTTTGTACCTTTTAAATTCCTGAGGAGTAGATCTTCGTTGTGCGACATTTTGACTTTCATCCGCTCGAGTTGTTTCGGTTGGAGATGAAGGTTCGACTAAGATCGATGGCGCCGTACTCGTTGTTGTGTTGAATGTTTGTGGCGATAAATTACTACCGGATAAATCTGTGTCTGCTACAGCGCTTGCTATTTCCTCGACAATATGATGTCTAAACGGCACAAACAAAAATTACATTAAGCGGTTAGGGGTTGTCATTCGTAGCTGCAAACCACAGATATTTCGATGATCGGCTTGCATGGTGTGCTCCGAGATTTTTATTTTGATATTAAAATATGTTTTGCAACCACAAAAGCTTTTCATATAAGTTACTATTTGCTCACGAATGTATTTGAGTTTTCATGCAGTACATGGAAATTTCAGGCTAAAATTTATATACAATTTTAGATCTGTCCGGGATCAGCTTCGGAAATGCAGCAATTTAGGCGCCGCGATCAACCTCCTTCCCAGAAAGACCCTGGGACCGAGGTTGGGCTGGGATTCCCAGGTGCAAGTGAGTTTGGACTCTCAATATTTCGTACGCGAAACAAAATGACTAGTTGGGACCAGGTTTGGATTGTGATTTAAATTGAGGTTGTGAATCTGGAAATGACCCAAAATTGCTGCAACTTGCATGCAACGTGTTTCCTCGTGCGAATTACAACATCTGATATACAACATGCGTATCGTTTTGCGTGATGTTTTCACCTGAACTCTGTTGTCATGGCGACAGGATACTGCATGCCTGAATCCGTAATACTGCCAAGCTGAGGAGCGACATCACTGCTTGATCCAAGACGAGCCGATGCTTGACTAGAAATACAACAACAACTGTTAACCTCCGAAATAACCTCCAAAATTATCCCTTTGGAATATGAGCTAATTGAGTGAAAATTAGCTGTAGAATGGTGCAAAAGATTGCTGATCGCAGACTTTCAAGTCTCAAACAAGTGGGAGAAAAGTGCACAGGTAGATGTATTACCTATTACTCTGTGGTAATGCCAACTTCGTTCTATATGCCACTGAAAGAGTCAGTCCTCCACGTGGCGTGCCAATGCTGCCAACAGGCATCACATGATAATCTGAAAAATAAAAACCGTATCACAGTTTCCTAAAAACCGTTCAAATAAATTTGATCCAATCCTTAACAATTGGGTGAAGCTAGATCACGCCCTAATGTAAGATGGAATTGGCAAATATTATGTCATGCATTTGCAATAGACGACAAATTTTTTGAATCGGCAAACTAATGCCATGATCAGTACAGAAACAAGATACTGGACGTAATTTTGATATTACTTTTTATAATCATACAGTACATAAAATAATTTTCACAATCTGTAATACCAACTCAATTTCTTACTTACTTTCCCCGAACTCCGATACTCGTACTTGGCCGAAATAAATTCTAGAAAACAAAGTAAAATAGACCAGACCTTCAACCTTTTGTCACAGAGGAACCTCTCTCTCTCTCTTTTTTTAAGCATAGAACGTAGTACTAGAACAGTTTGTTAATGTTCACTCACCTATAACACAAGATGTAATCATGTCCTTGATTTCTGGCAATCTTATAGGCAGGTGTAACTCTTGACACAGCAATCAAAGACTTGAGCAAGATTCCCATTCTATTGTATACTGTGTACGTTATCTTACTGTTGTTCTCTCGTCTGCAGATATTAAATAAAACCATTAGAAATAAGTTCAGCAAGGGGCCACGGGCCACCCGTATTTATCAACATTCTCAGAAGGGTGCAGAGAGTATACTCTTGTTTCTGCAGTGTTTAACATAGTTTTTTCGGCAATATTGTAGGTTGTCAGCCTTGTGCCTAAAAGGCCAAGCAGAAAAGAATTGTTGAATCAGACTTATCAGGGATGAAAAAGATTCTAATTAATCTTTAGTTCGGTCCAGACCCAGAGCGCACTCTTAAGTACGGCGTGAACCTCAGCGAACGATTATGCACAGTTCAATCAAGCCACGTTGGATCTGAAGTCTGTCAAGAACTGATGGAAATATGGAAATTTATTATATAGTAGAGAGTGAGATACTGAAAAATACACAGTGAGATATTTTCCATATCTTCACTAGTGAAGATATCGATCACGTGACTTTTTGCACTTTGAGCGTGAAATTTCACAATTTTTTGCTTGGGACTATATAATAAACAGAACATTACACGGTGGCTTGAAGATATGACTTTTATCTTCTCGTGTTAAAAACAATATTTTAACTTACAACAATATTGTTTTCACCACTCGAAGATAAAAGTCATATCTTCGCGCCGCCGTGTAATATCCTCTCTATATATAGAAAATCTTTCTTCTGTTTATGCAACGCACCGACTATATCCACCAGAAAGGTCAAATATTAACTATCTAAAGCTTATCTGAACTGAATATAGATTGGAGTATTCTTACTTCTCATCAACTCCCAATCGCCATGTCTCTAACACCATCGTGTTGCCCTAAATATTGAAAATAAAACAACTTATATGTATTTCACAACCTGCTTCATTTTGCCACAAAAATAGAGGGATAAATATCATGCACAGGCAATGAAAGCTACCTCGTTTGTTTTAAGTGAGACCTCAACACACAGTGGATTATCTCGTGATGGCAACTTGTTGTTCGCCATTACTTTCTTGGTTTCCTCAAGGACTTCTTGAATGTCATTGATCGCTAAATTAAACTGGGAGAATATACACATCAAGTATGCTGAAATCTGATTGACCTATTAAGCTGCATTGTGCATTTAATGCCAGACGATTTTATTCATCAAGGGAAAACTGCTGCCACTCAATGGGTTAAACGGTACAACTAATTCAATTAACGTTGTCTTCTGAAGATCGAAGCATACAACCGCAAAACGTTGAGCAGTAAATGCGAAAAGCACTGTGATGTATTTTTTAATGCTTCGATTAGACCGTAGCATGTTGCAAAACAAACGTCTTTGCTGCCATTTTACACGTGTGCATCTGTTGACAATGTGCCTTTCAAACTTAGAGGTTGAGGTTTTGCATATCAAGTTTTGACTTTGAAAGGAAAATATTAATTGAATTAGCTGTATATTTAAAATGGTATTTATGATATCATCCTCCTGACAAACGAACACATATACACGAGGAATGTCCATGGGTTTGTAACAAACCTACCCAGTCATATCCCATGGCATTTGGTTTGGATGATGTGGAAATCTTTTCACCAAGACGAGACTGAACAATGACTTGGACAACCTAAACATTCAGTAGCAATACAAGTAGTGTAAAACAGTGGTGATGATCATGATGGTGCAGGGATGATCAAGGCGACAGGGATGATGATGGTGGTGGCAATAGTGACAGTGATGATGATCACAGTGGTGATAATCAAGTGACAGTGACGACAGTGATGGCAATAAGTGGTGATGATGGTGACAGTGGTGATGAGTGGTGACAGTGGTGATGATGGTGACAGTGTGGTGATGATGGTGACCATGGTGATGATGGTGACCATGGTGATGATGGTGACAGTAATGATGATGGTGACAGTATGATGATGGTGACAGTGGTGATGATGGTGACAGTGGTGATGATGGTGACAGTGGTGATGATGGTGACAGTGGTGATGATGGTGACAGTAATGATGATGGTGACAGTAATGATGATGGTGACAGTAATGATGGTGACAGTAATGATGATGGTGAGTCATTTGTGTCATCTAGTGTCACCTAGTGTCATCTACCATCATCTAACGTCATCTAGTGTCATTTAGTGTCATCTAGTGTCATTTAGTGTCATCTAGTGTCACCTAGTGTCATCTACCATCATCTAACGTCATCTAGTGTCATTTAGTGTCATCTAGTGTCACCTAGTGTCATCTACCATCATCTAACGTCATCTAGTGTCATTTAGTGTTAAAATGATGATG